AGCTATTGCTGTTAGGATGAAGCATATGAAATTCCTGGGTTTTCTTGTATGTCAAATAGAGTCCAATATTGGCAGTTTCATATGCTTAAACCTAATACATAGGCATGATCTTTGCATCCATTGCATGATTAACATTTGATTCCTTGGTATTGAGCATGTATCTCTGTTTTGTAGAATTAAATTGGTCTAAACTTACTTTCTTGAGTTCTGTTTTTGTTTTTTTTTAACTAAAATGATTTTAAGGGATGTAGTAATGTTTTGCTATATAATTTGTTACCTGGGTCCAAGATTCTTCTAACGTGTGTCTCTTTTAGAATCAGGTAGCAATGTAATCAATCCACAAAAAGACTATTGAAGGAAAACAAGCCAGAAGATTATATATATACTTACTATCGCTGCATTAATTTACATGATTTTTACCTTGGGTTTGCTTTTCTGAGAATGTTGATGGCTCTTTTAGGTTGACAACTTAGGATGTTATTCTTAACTCTTAGGATCTGGCTCCAAATCTCCTTTACACACACACACATACACACACTCTGTCTCCCCCTCTCTCTGCCTCTCTCTTTCCCTTCCATGTACCCTTAAGCTCCAGACAAATAGCACTACCTATTCTTTTCCCACATTAGGTCCTGCACTCTGACTTCTCCCCAAATTCAGATCCTGCTTTTCTTGGAAAAGTAGCACAGTTGGATCTTCCTCCTTTGGCTCCAGCAGAAGTAATTGCAGTTCCTTCCGTTCTTCTTGTATTTTATCTGGACATCATGTCAATGTGAAAGAATTTAGCCTACACTACCTTAATGTGGATATAGGCCGAGTATGTGGAAGGCAGGGGGAGATGGCTATCACTAAAATTTTGTGATTTAATGCATCATCTTCCAAGTAAATCATAGAATGTTTTACATATCTAAGTAAATGTACTGGTCTGATTAGCTGGCTTTAAATCTATGTAGTTACATAAAATTTTGTATAGTTACGTAAAAATTGTAGTGACCACTTCTTTGTACCATTGAAATAATGAAGTCTTTTGTTTGTACCAAATATGAACATTGGAAAACAGAAAAAATGTTTCTCCTGAGAGCAGCAAACAAAGATTCTGAAGTAATGTGTACTCATCTTTATGTGGGCTGTTCTTAGAAAAATACAAACATCATTAGGACAAATTTGTGACTATATCATGCAGATATACTCATTTTTATCCTGTCTGAATGCATCTGTAACATGGTAATACCAAATAACCTAATACTGCTATAGAGTTGTGAATGAAACTGTATCACTATGAAAGCAACTTCTTTAGAAACCACTGCTTTTTGAATATGGAAGTAGACTAATGATTAGGAGTCCGTTTTATCCATGCAAATATGTTTTATTAAAGATGAGCCAGAATAAATGTATTTTAGGTTTTTCCTAGTCATCTTTAGTGTTGATTCAGATTAGGCTCCAATCAGCCAAAATGCCCTGATTCTTAACAGGAATGCTTTCCTCCTTTCCCAGCATCTCACATTATGGCTTAAAAATGAATTTGTTTTCTTCTGTTTGCGGAGAATGGAAAATTTTATCCCCTTATTTATTTTCCAATTGTGTCATAATCAAATTGAAACATTTTCAAGCAGTTCAAAAACAACTTGCCCTTCCAGTTTGAAGTATTGTTATTTTATGTGCCACCAAACAGGTGTATTTTTATCCAAGAGGAGTATGATGAAGGGATTTGAAGAGGTAAAAAAAGTATGTTGACATACGAAATGCATACCCCTGGCAGTGTGTTTTTTAAGGTTCTGATACTCTGATGTTCATTGACAATGTTCCACAGGGTATTTTAGAATTATATTTCTTAAGCTACATTCTAAAATATTTGAGTAAAATTACCAACTTCTAATGTTTGAGAAATATTTATCATATACTTTAATGACACTGCATATGTATTGCAGAAGGGGGGGTGTACTGTATTACTATATAATCAAGGCAGATATAATTAACACTTTTATATTTCTCACACCTACGTCCACCATCCTGTAGTGTTCTGTGGAGAAAGTAGCTGCTCTTTCGTGTGCGTTCATTACTGTTATTTCACTCTAATGCGCTTTGGGTATTCACTACTTACATATATGAAAAGGAATGGTTGTGTATTGTGCAGAAGCAGGGGCCTCTGGTTCTTTTCCAGGCCCCACTGATGTAGAATAAGCCAAGCAGATAGTTCTTGGTCTAGTAGAAATGAGCCTACTTTCATGTGGCCTTGGTGCTATTCTCCTATCCATTATCTGAAACAGGTTATCCTATCCTATTTATTTTTATTTTTTTAATTGAAATATAGTTGACATACAATATTATATTGGTTTCAGGTGTACATATCCTATCCTATTTAAATACAGCTTTTAAAAACTATACTGCAGGGTGTGATTTACTTAAGGCAGGGCATCTTTCTCAGCATGACACATTAAAATAAAATGTTTAATTTTCTTGGTGAAAATGCAGTCAGTGACTTATATCCTCTGTTGTTCTCAATAATGGGTTAGCTATTGATTAATATGTGGATTACTAGGCATCTACCAGTTAAGGCAGAGGTAAGAGCAGAATTTAGTTGTTAGGAGATTAACTTATTAGCTAAGGTATTTGTAAGGGAGCTACAAAAATGATAATTCCCCAACAGCAATGAGTTCCTAAAACTCATCAGGAAAATGGTGTAAGTACTGTACTGCTAATCATCATATCCCAGCATCCAGTGTCATTTCTCTTCCTGTACACTTCTGTATTCATCTTCTAGTTTTAGGGAAACATTTTAGCCTTTCTGTGATTTTCTAATTTTGTCCATTCTGTAGAGACCCTGGGACCTGATAGACTTATCTGGTCAGATTCTCTTGTAGCAAAGATGTAAGGTCTGGGGAATGTTTCATAACACACATGAAATACATTAATATTTGTGATAACATACCCAGAATAATAGCATATAAAATAAAGGCGATTGGGTGCAAACCAGCACAGAACCTTGATTTGAGGGTCTATTGCTGTTCTTTTATATTGTGAAACTGACTCTTCAATGATCTATAATTTGCTTCCCCCCATTTTGTACATGTGCTCTAAGAGCACTGTGCTTGTGCTGATTTTACTCTGATCAGTTTCATTCTGTCTGTTACAGGGTAGAAAAAAGAAACAATATTTAACAGTTGAGCAATACTAAAATCTATATAAACCAGCCTGGTAGCAGCCTAAGTCCAGGTGGTCTAATATTTTTTAGTAGGTGTCTTAACTTGAAATAAATCGATTGTAAATTAATGCAAGAACAATGAAATTACTTGGGATATAGTATAATAAAGGAGCAAAGATGTTGAAGCAACTTTTCAAATTAAATATATTAAATGTTTTAATCTGTACAAAGGTAAGCTTGTGGGGAAGAATCATGTAATATTTGTTTCATTTCTGCTAAGAAATTTGTTTAATGTAATTATGAATGTGAGCTAAATCTTAAGCAGAAAAGTTCTTATGTGAAAACTCACAATTCAAATATTTTGCAGTCAATTCTAGGATTTTATTTTGATTAATGAATTCTGTTTAAAAAATTATAAAATTGTATATGAAATAATGTAAGAAAGCCAAAAATATATAAGGAGAATGAGATAAACTATGTGTGTATACATGTATGTTTATAACTATAGAAATGAATATAATAGAAAATAAATCAAAATATTTATCTTTAGGTAGCAGAATTCCAGGCAATTTTTATTTTCTTTTTAATTTTTTTTCCTGTTAATTCTGTGGTAAGCATGCATGACTTTTATAATTAGGAAAGTTACTTTCTGATAATGTATTACAGATAGAGACCCTGGGACCTGATAGACTTATCTGGTCAGATTCTCTTGTAGCAAAGATGTAAGGTCTGGGGAATGTTTCATAACACACATGAAATACATTAATATTTGTGATAACATACCCAGAATAATAGCATATAAAATAAAGGCGATTGGGTGCAAACCAGCACAGAACCTTGATTTGAGGGTCTATTGCTGTTCTTTTATATTGTGAAACTGACTCTTCAATGATCTATAATTTGCTTCCCCCCATTTTGTACATGTGCTCTAAGAGCACTGTGCTTGTGCTGATTTTACTCTGATCAGTTTCATTCTGTCTGTTACAGGGTAGAAAAAAGAAACAATATTTAACAGTTGAGCAATACTAAAATCTATATAAACCAGCCTGGTAGCAGCCTAAGTCCAGGTGGTCTAATATTTTTTAGTAGGTGTCTTAACTTGAAATAAATCGATTGTAAATTAATGCAAGAACAATGAAATTACTTGGGATATAGTATAATAAAGGAGCAAAGATGTTGAAGCAACTTTTCAAATTAAATATATTAAATGTTTTAATCTGTACAAAGGTAAGCTTGTGGGGAAGAATCATGTAATATTTGTTTCATTTCTGCTAAGAAATTTGTTTAATGTAATTATGAATGTGAGCTAAATCTTAAGCAGAAAAGTTCTTATGTGAAAACTCACAATTCAAATATTTTGCAGTCAATTCTAGGATTTTATTTTGATTAATGAATTCTGTTTAAAAAATTATAAAATTGTATATGAAATAATGTAAGAAAGCCAAAAATATATAAGGAGAATGAGATAAACTATGTGTGTATACATGTATGTTTATAACTATAGAAATGAATATAATAGAAAATAAATCAAAATATTTATCTTCAGGTAGCAGAATTCCAGGCAATTTTTATTTTCTTTTTAATTTTTTTTCCTGTTAATTCTGTGGTAAGCATGCATGACTTTTATAATTAGGAAAGTTACTTTCTGATAATGTATTACAGATGTAGTTTTATCTTAATCTCGTAGATGGAAACTACTGATATTTTTGTATAAATGGTAATTTGATACAGTGGTTTCCTTCTTTTTAAATAATGCCTCAACATTTTTATATTTTTATATAATACACGCTTCTGATTGGCATTCAAAGAACCTAGGAAATGACGAATTAAAAATAAAGTAATTTCCTTTTATTTTTAGATGCCAGAATTCCAGAAAAGTTCAGTTCACATCAAGAACCCTGCAAGAGTAGAAGAGATTATCTGTGGTCTTATCAAAGGAGGAGCTGCCAAACTTCAGGTGAATAATTACTTATAAGCCTTTAGTATTAGGTCTTTACTTTTAATGTTTAAGCAGACTCAGTCATCTCATGTTCTGCCAAAATCTGAGTAAGTTCTAAGCAAACTAATGCTATGCATAAGTATTAAACCACTTTAAGAATACTGTTAATATTTATTAATAACAGTACTATTCTTGAATATCTGAGCAGTTTTAAATTGCTCTTCCTTTAATCAAATAAACCATTCTAGTTCAAAGATGTAACTTTATTAAAGGATAACTGATTTTTTAATAATATTCTTTTTTTAAGGAATATTTTTAATGTAAATTAAATCAACAGTCTAGATATCCAGTAAAAAAAAAAATTGTTTCTTTAAATATTTTTGAAAAAAATATTTAATCCAATCTCAGACTCCTAAATTTCAGGGCATGGTAAACTATTGCCATGTATCCTTGTTGCTTGGTACAGCTTACCTAATTAGAGAAGTTAAATCGGGAATGTAACAGTATCTGAATCACTATGTTGTATACCTAAAATCAATATAATACTGTGTATATCAGCTATACTTCAGTTAAAAAAAAATGTAACAGCACCAATCACTAAGCTTTGTTTTCCCTGCATTTTTGTACATTGACCAAGTGGGTTGAAATTGCGCAGTGTTTTATATCTACCAACAGTAGTGACCATATCACCTGCAATTGTAAATTCCTCTACAGATTCATTGGGTTTTATTTGGTGACAGTGCTAGGGCACTTAAGGTATCACCTCGTAATTAGGTAATTCTCAGGAGTTTATGCAGGAACTGCATTAGAAAGCTCAATCTAGAGCAAATGACCTACAGTGGGGTGGCAGGGATAGAGCATAGTCCCATGCCTCTAGGCAGCATGTGGCCTTGGTAGCTGTGTTTTCTATAATGCCTTTTTTTCCTTTCTGTTGCAGATCATAACAGACTTTGATATGACACTGAGTAGATTTTCCCATGAAGGCAAGAGATGCCCAACCTCTCATTGTAAGTGTGGCATTCATAAATTCATCAATTATTATTTTAAAATCCTTTTCTACCTGTAGTATCTCTGTGACTAGTGGGTGCTTTTCTTTTTTTTTGGACATTGAAAATGAGAGAACCAGTTTTTTCTAACTATATTTTGAGAATTTGTTTTTCCACACGTTACATAAATGGCTGTTTTCTGTGTGGTTTTGGTTGCAAGACGAATGAAGTCTTCTGAAATTTTTCTTTCCAAGTGTGGCTTGTTCATTATTTATTCAAGAAATACCTAAATGGGTCTTAAACTTTGGATTAACCTAAGGAAACAGCATTTATCAAATATTCTGTGTTTTCCAGGAATATTACTAAATTTTTGTGTTCTTAACACAATTTATATGTTACTAAATAAATATCAAAGTGAAATGTCTTGCTAGGATAATATATTTTCTTTTGGTTTCTAAACTTGGCAGTGAGTGTTTAAAATAATACTCTTTAACCTGACAAAGTAAGCCCTCTTATTTGGTGTTGGTATATGTATAATTAAAAAAATCATTTTGATGATTTATATTAAAGCCACTACATATTATACTCCTTGGTCCAGTAATTCCTCTTTGGAGACTTTCTAATCAATTAATCCCAAATGTAGAAAAAAGGCTTTAGATCCAAGGCTTAGATTTTTTAAATCATTGGATTCTTTAGCAATGCATATGAATTACAATACTAAAACTGAAAGTTTTAGTGACCATGCTAGTTGACTTGGCATTTAAACTTAAAAGAAAAGTGATAAGTTATTTAAAGTAGTGGTAGTGTTGCCGGGCAGCTGCACCTGTGGAGGTGTCTCCCTGTGTACCAGATGAAGCACTAGGAGAAACTTCAATCTGAACAGGGGAGGGTTCTTGACTCTGAACGAGAACTTTCTCGAACAGGTCAGAGGAGTTTAGGTAAGGAAGGAATTCTTTAAAATTGGAGTAGCAGGGAATGGCAGCTGCCATGCAGACAGCAGAGAGCAATAAAAAGCAGAGGGAGGAAAGGGAAGCTCATTGAACTCTGCTTGGCATAGGGTAGATAGGTCCCTTGCCAATCCTAAAGCCAGGGTCACCTGGTGTCCAGTGTCCACTTGAATCTGCATGGTGTGGGGTCTAAGTCCCTACCACCCAGGATTTGGGGGAGCTGCAGAGCACTGGATAGAGTGAGATTGTTCTGAGAACTTCCCAAAGGCAAAGAAAGGAGATTTCAGGCAGGCTACCAAAGAGCATGATTGTACAGCCACAGTCCTGTCCAGGTCACCTGGGCAATCGTAACTCGCAGACCCAAATCAGAGTTCTCAGCAGCCTCTCCCTACTAATCTGAAGTAGGACAGAGAGAGTGAAGACTTGTGCTCAAGTCTAGAAAATAGAATGAAATAGCAAAGTAACAAAGACACTACCACTAGAAGAGCATAGAGACAAAACGCAGTAAGTTGAGCAGTGAGAAGGCTTTATTTAAAGAGTACACACTTGGAGAAATCAGAGTGTGAGCAACCACAGAGAGGAGGCACACTTAAGGTTGGGGGTTCTGTCTTTTAAGGATTTTTAGGAATGGGATAAAAGGCCAGGGGGGCATAGGCTTGTCATGCCATCTCAGGATGTCTATCTCCAGTGAAAGACACTATGTCCAGTCTCCACTATCATTCCTCTAGATAATTCTGTAAGATAAACTTAACACAAGGAATTTATTGATCCGGTTCCTCTCCAAGATAGTGGCTTCCCTCAGGTACTGGGAACATACCAGTTAAGACTGTTTGCCTTGCTTTTGAGATAGTTTGTCGGCTAATTACCAAAGAATATGTTAGGAATCTTAACTCCTAACTCCCTGGGTTTTAAAATGGAATCTTAGCCTTAAGGTGGAGTCCCTCCTTTTCTTACTATACTATCTATATTTTGGCATTTTTCATCATAGGCAGGAAAAGCTAATCATGATGCTTGTCCCATGTCCCTGCCCTACTTCAGCAGCATCAATCAGAGTATTTGTTTTAATGCGTAATTTGCTTGCTTTCTTCAGATGTCATTGACAACAGTAAACTGGTTACAGATGAATGTCGAAAAAAGGTAAACACTAAGAGGAACCCAGAGTTACTCAAAGAAGACTTCGTTACCCTCTTTGCCTGAGGATTTCTGAGGATTGCATTCACATAAACAATGGATGCCCACAGAGCCCAGGAATGGACTAACAGTTACCAAAGGGAGGGGGACTGGGGAAGATGGGTGGGAAGGGAGGGATAAGGGCGGGGAAGAAGAAGGGGGGCATTGCGATTGGCATGTATAGTGTGGGGGGTCACAGGGAGGGCTGTGCGGCACAGAGAGGACAGGTGGTGATTTTGTGGCATCTTACTGCGCTGATGGATGGTGACTGTGGGGAAGGGTGTGGGGGGGACTTGGTGAAGGGGGGAGCCTAGTAAATATAATGTGCTTCATGTGATTGTAGATTAATGATACCAAAATAAAAAATAAAATAAAATAAAATAAAATAAACAATGATGCCAAGTGCTTATAGCCATACCTGACACAAAGTAAACCCTCAATAAATTTTAGGTTTATTGTATGGACTATATGCTCTCAAGATGTTTTAAAGAAAAAAATTAACAGTAACTTTCTGACAACAGTAAAAAATGAAAAACTTTTGATTACCAGAATATTCTGGTGTCCTTACATTAACTGGACAATTAAAAGTTAAAAGTACTTTGGTTTTATGAAGGTTTTCCTCCCTTAAATTGATCAGGAAATTGCCTCAGTTTTCTGCTTTCCTTGAGTAGGCATCTTTTAACAAAATAACACTTGAAACGGGAATCAAATTTAATGCTTTCATATGAAAATGAAAGTTTTTCTGTAGTGATAATTTAAATATTAGTTTGAATTGCTGACATGAAAGTATTTAAAAAAGAAAACTACCTTTATAGTTACATGTAAACTAAAATCAGCAAAGATGTCTTTAGTCAATATATGCATTAACTAAGCACTCATTATCTAATCCTTATCATTTAAAGCAGCTTATGGAAAACATTTGTATAAGTTATTTTGCTTTCTATAAAACTAAGCAGTTTAATGACAACTCTTAATGACAATGCTTCATCTTTATTTATTTCTAGTTATGGCAACTAAAGGAAAAATATTATGCTATTGAAATTGATCCTGTTCTTACCATAGACGAGAAGTACCCTTACATGGTAGAGTGGTAAGTACATCTTGGGCAATGGGTGAGTTAAAAATGTGATAAAATGATACTACACTTACAATTAATGGTTTGTTTTCCCCTGTACTGTATATAGATTCACAAAATATCCAATGAGTTAGAGCAATGGTTAAATGTAGTAAAATGAACTCTAATTCTCTCATCACTCTAATAGTCTAGACTTGGTTTTGTTCTGTTTTTTTAAGATGAAGATCATTGGAAATAAATTTAAAATCTTACATTTAAGTCTTAAAAACAATTTTTTTTATGAGTATACAAAAAAGATATCTGATTATGTAAAGAAAATGAATTAGGATTTAAATGGACTGTGACCTCAGTTGGAACCAGGTGGTGACATAGTGAGAAATGGGCCTCTGGTGGTTCGTGGTATTAATCGAAATGCAGAGTTCTAAGCAGACCACCTTGAAAGCATTGTGTTGAGTCCTGGGATTGAAAGCTATTAAGAGAAATGTTGACAAACTAGAGTGGGTCAGAGGAGTCCACAAAGATAATCACAGAAATTGGAGCCATCCCATTTGAGGAAGATTTCAAGGAATAGAGAATAGCTTTGATTTGAGCAGCAACAGCGTGTGGTTTTAGAAAATAAGAGACCAGGAACGATGAGTATCTTCATCATGCTTTTACCTAACCTCATTCCCTTGCACACTTGAACAGTGTTGATGGTATGAAGTGCTGAGAAGAGGTTAGACTTAACTATACGTGCCTGTGGAAGTAGCACTGCACCTGGACTCAGCGACATGCAAAGAAGGACTGCCTAGCAATTAGAATTTCTAGCGACAGCACAAGCTTCCCGGACAAATGAGCTCACTTAGCAGAACAGGGGCTGGCACAGAGAGGAAGGTCACTTAGGGATTTCATAGGAGGATTTTTTAGTTATCAGTGGAGAGGCTCTAAAGGCCTATTATACTGAGATGCTGTGATTGTAGGTGCTTTTATGTTATTACAAGGCACCTATTTATATAAAACTTTTCATAACAAAGATTTCTCTCGCTCACTAGGCAACAGCTTCAGTACTTACACATTTTGTGTAAATGCAGGCTACAACTAGGTGAAAAAAATGCTCTAATTCTTACTGTGCTCAGAGAAATAAATGACTGTGACTGGTTTACATTCAGCTCTTACCTGTAGACTTAGGAAAGGTTTGCACTTAGTATTCTTTCATTATCTTATTAATGCATTTAAACCAAACCAGAATTTGGGAAGAACTGGGAAATGCATTAAAAACATACATACCACATTTTGAGACACATGCGGTATATATTCATTAGGGATGAATTTAAATCTCTTAAAATTTGAGTCCAAAATATGATGAATGAAATACTGCATTTTTCTCACACTGAAGAATGCTTTTTAATTAAGTTAATCATTTTAATGTGCTTTAATTGGTACTCTCTTTTTTCTTTGGTCATGAACTCCAGGTATACTAAGTCACATGGTTTGCTTATTGAACAGGCTTTACCAAAAGCTAAACTGAAAGAAATTGTGGCAGAATCTGATGTTATGCTCAAGTAAGTTTCTTGGGGGTTTTTGTTGTAAATTATCTACGGATTTGAATTACTGTTACATATGTGTTCTGGTGTACATTTTCATTAAAGTGAGCTATAACAGTATTCCATATAAAAACATATAAAATATGCCACTTATCATAAAATAGTGGAGACATAAGGAATTTAGAATGACATATTAGATCTTTCCTTTCTCCAGATTAAAAATTTCCAACTATTTACAAATTTATGAAATTTACAAATTTATAAATCAAGTTGAAAGGGGTTTTTAGCTCTTCATCAAGTTACATGAATCTACTTTCTGAATTCTTAAAACTCCCTTGAAATCTATCTCTAGGAAAGGCAGACATAAACATTTTAAGCTTATTTTCAATACTGTTTTCTACTTTTCAAATTTGCAGTGCATTAGGCAAATATGATAATACTACATATATATATATATATACATACATACATTTGGATTGTGCTGCATTTTAAGATGATAACTTCTAAGGAGTTTCCTCCTTAGGGGGAAGCATTAATTGACAGAAAGAGTGTGAGGACAGCTAGTAAGTATTTCATTCTTCTGTAGGCCACTTAACCTATAGCTCAGGAAAAATAAAAAGGGAAGAAAAGATTTTAACATCAAAGCACTGCCTACAGCTGTCAGATGTAAGGCGGATACAGCTCAGTTCCTTCTACTGCCAGTGAGGAGCACCCAGGCAGGATGAGCAGCAGGAAGTGTTCCAGCTGTCCCTGAGTGGGGTTTTCAAGATGTGATTTAATTGTTTGTTGTAAAATGGTGTAAATTCTGAACTGTAGGTTTGTATCCATATTCGGTGCAAATCTAAAATCATCAAATTTGTACTATTTGGATTTATTAAAGGGAGAATAAGGGTTAACTGTTTGAAAATCTTGCACTAGTGGTATAAATATCAATAACAGCCCTCCTGGGCAGTATTTTGAAATGAGAATATAAATGAGCCATAGAATAGGTAGAAATGTTTACCTTTTTTAACTTCTAGGTGAAAAAAACCTTTCTTATCTTGCTCTTTAATGATCAATTTCTACCTCCATCTTGCAGGGAGGGATATGAGAATTTCTTTGATAAGCTCCAGCAATACAGTATCCCTGTGTTTATATTTTCGGCTGGTATCGGTGATATACTAGAAGAGGTTATCCGTCAAGCTGGTGTTTACCATCCAAATATCACAGTAGTGTCCAACTTCATGGATTTTGATGACAATGTAAGTTTATGAAATTCCTCATAATTACTTTTAAAATCTGAAAAGATTTTAATTTTGTAAATGTACTTGTTATTTATTATTTAATGTATATTCATTTAAATTAGACCATGTTGATAGGCCTAGTATGGGACTTACATTTTCTAGTGTTATATCAACATTCATGTTTTTAAAATAATGTACCCTTAAACTTTTGTTTCCCAAGGTAGAGACTAGTATTAAAATTAGTAAAACTTTTTTTAAAGTAATGTAGTGTAGCAACTCTGAAGACTTGACATCTATAAGTAAAAAAATAGAAATTAATTATAACTGACAGTATTTGAACAAGTTCTTCTAATCAAGACAATAAATTATGATATACATGAAATGGGACCTTTTGGTTGGGAAACAAATGAAAAATAAAATGGGGTTTTCAACTCATTGTGTTTAAAATTTAAAGTAGTTTCTGGAGCATCCTTAACTTCTCAGAACCCTTCTTTCCTATCACAAATGTGAAAATACAATAAATAGAATTTGCAAAACCTACTGTTCAAAGGATTTATGTTTTTAATAGGGTATACTCAAAGGATTTAAAGGAGAACTAATTCATGTATATAACAAACATGATGGTGCCTTGAAGAATACAGACTATTTCAGTCAACTAAAAGACAATAGCAATATAATTCTGCTGGGAGACTCTCAAGGAGACATAAGAATGGCAGATGGAGTAGCTAATGTTGAATATATTCTGAAAATTGGATATCTAAATGACAGAGTAAGTATACAGATCTGTTGTTTAATTTTTTTTAAAGAAAAAATTAGGATGAAACTTGATAGGTAGTTGTACCAAAGATAGCTGAGAAAGTAGCTGAGAGACATTTTAATTGCTCTTTACCTCATTACTTTGGTGATGGTGAAAGGAGTTGGTGTGCATATATGTGCACATCACAGGTATTGGGGGTGAGGAGGGTATACATACTAAATGAGGCCTCTCTGGCCTCTCTCTGCTAAAAGCCAGTAGTACTCCTCAGTCATGAGAAGCAAAAATGTCTCCAGACATTGCCAAGTGTTCTGTGCACAGTCTCTCCAGTGGAGAACCACTGGGCTAGAGAGAAATCATTTCGGAAGAGTGCCATGTGGGAAAATGTCTGTCAGCAAGTGTTATATATTTGAAAGTATTTCTTCATTTCAAAGGTTTTGTGAAAGTGAATTTAATTTGCTGTATTTTGCCCAAAAGACTTAACAAAGAGATTTATCTTGAAATTATTTGCTTTTCTTCCTTGCATATTAATTTAATTCTTGTTGTTGATTAGGTGGATGAGCTTTTAGCAAAGTACATGGACTCTTATGATATTGTTCTAGTAAAAGATGAATCACTGGATGTAGCCAACTCTATCTTACAGAAGATTCTATAAACAAGCATTCTTTAAGAAGTCTTCTGTCCGATGGGTGCAACTGATGCAAGAACTGCTCATTTTTTCATCTTGCTGAAAGCCTTTTATTTATAATATATTCTTGCTCTTGAAGTTTCTCCTCCACATGACTGAAGTATTTTCAGACACGTTGTATCCATCAACTGGAAGCTCCATTTAGTCAGCCTCTCTCAACACACTCCTCACTATATTTTTTAACAGATTAAAAAAAAACTCATAAAGCCAAAATTTGAAAAATAACTTTCTACTTTTCTAGAAAGACTTTTGTAATTTAATGTTATGAAGTTTTGGAGGAATCTTTGTACACTGGGAAAGTTTGTAGAAGTTTTAAAAGAAATTTAATGAAATGGTAAAATATGCATGATTTTAAATGTAGCCATTTTGTAATTTGGGTGAATTACACAGGTGGTGTCACCATTTCCTGAAATTATGTTATGTTTGGTTATTTTGTTTGGTGAGTATCAATATTTACCAGAAAATACTAGCACTTAGTATTTGAAACAACTATTGGTATTATCCACATCACTAATCATTATAAAATGTTCTCTAGTGCAGCACTGAAAATAAACAGGAAATGAAAACTTTAATTCTAATGTTGAGACTATTATTGACTCATTCAACAAATATTTATTAAGCACCTGTTTTTCTTGCGTGTCTGTGGTATATGAATACTAATGTGCTTGTCATAGTGACTAAATTGAATATTTACAAATTTACATATTATAAATTTAAGGGCAAAAAGATATTTGCATGAAACTGTATTATTGTCTAACCCCGTACACAAAAGTAAGCTCAAAATGGATTAAAGACCTGAATGTAAGTCATAAAACCATAAAACTCTTAGAAAAAAATATACGCAAAAATCTCTTGGACATAAATATGAGCAACTTCTTTATGAACATATCTCCCCGGGCAAGGAAAACAAAAGCAAAAATGAACAAGTGGGACTATATCAAACTAAAAAGCTTCTGTACAGCAAAGGATACCATCAATAGAACAAAAAGACATACAGTATGGGAGAATATATTCATAAATGACATCTGATAAGGGGTTGACATCCAAATTATATAAAGAGCTAACGCACCTCAACAAACAGCAAATAAGCCAATTAAAAAATGGGCAGAGGAGCTGAACAGACACTTCTCCAAAGAAGAAATTCAGATGACCAACAGGCACATGAAAAGATGCTCCACATCACTAATCATCAGAGAAATGCAAATTAAAACCACAATGAGATATCACCTCACACCAGTTAGGATGGTCACCATCCAAAAGACAAACAACAACAAATGACGGCGAGAATGTGGAGAAAGGGGAACCCTCCTACACTGCTGGTGGGAATGTAAACTAGTTCAACCATTGTGGAAAGCAGTATGGAGGTTCCTCAAAAAACTAAAAATAGAAATACCATTTGACCCTGGAATTCCACTCCTAGGAATTTACCCTAAGAATGCAGGAGCCCCGTTTGAAAAAGACATATGCACCCCTATGTTTATCACAGCACTATTTACAATAGCTGAGAAATGGAAGCAACCTAAATGTCCATTAGTAGATGAATGGATAAAGTAGAAGTGATACATATATACAACGGAATACTATTCAGCCATAAGAAAGAAACAAATCCGACCATTTGCAACAACATGGATGAGGGTATTATGTTAAGTGAAATAAGTCAGGCAGAGAAAGACAAGTACCAAATGATTTCCATCATTTGTGGAGTATAACAACAAAGCAAAACTGAAGGAACAAAACAGCAGCAGACTCACAGAACCTGTAAATGGACTAACAGTTACCAAAGTGAAAGGGACTGGGAAGGGTGGGTGGGAATGGAAGGATAAGGGGGGAAAATGGGGCATTACGATTAGAACATAATGTAGGAGGGGGACACGGGAAAGGCAGTATCTACAGAGAAGACAAGTAGTGATTCTATAGCATCTTACTATGCTGATGGACAGTGACTGTAATGGGGTATGTGGTGGGGACTTGATAATGGGGGGAGTCTAGTAACCATAATGTTCAAGTAATTATACACTAATGATATAAAAAAAAAGGTATTTGCAGACAAGACTGTACTTTCTGGGATCATTTTTCTAGTTCATTACTAGAGAAGTTTCTCTGAATGTACAGCATCCAAAACCATGGGAAAGGAGGCTCTGTTCTCTCCTGAGCACGAAGCTGGCTCTTGGTGTTGCTTCTCCAACTGTGACCTGCCATTTATGAGCCTTCTCTCCCTTGGAGGGGGAGGGGGAGAGAACACAGTCCAAGTGGTTCTTTAAAAAAAAATTTTTATTTTCTGTATCTTATATGGCTTATAAGACTGTTGGAATTATATTTCTGATAGCTACTGTTTGGCTTTTATGGCTCTGGCAGTACTGTTATTTCTCACCTGTCACTACTGTGGAGTATTACAGAAGGTCTCTTCTCTCCGACACTGGCTTGTTTGCTGCTTTTAAGCAGTTTTCCTTTCTTCTGTCAACTTTTCTTTGTAGTGTTTTCAAAGTTTGCCTTTGGTAGACAATGCTTTTGGCTCAGTTCTCTTAAGAAGTTTTGTTGAAGGGGGTTTTTTGAGAAATTTTTAAAAGCAAAGCTTTCTTTAAAAAATTAAGATATTTGCAGAGAAATTTAATTTGCCCCCCAGTAAATACTGGGGCCTGGGGAAATTATTTCCCCCACAAAATTTCAGTCCGAATGTACTTAATTGTAAGCCTAAGAATTGCCAAAACAGCCATAAGCACGAAAAAACTGTAGCTGGGTCCCATGGTGCCTAAAGCTAAGCCAACATTCCTCTCTGCAGTGTGACTTCCCATTCCAAATTTCTGCTGCCCTTAACTGGTTACCCAAGGCTTACACGTGCCCTTGTGATAAATTTGACCCTGACTGTAACCCTTGAGCTCCAGACTCTGCGAGCAACTAATCGATTTTCTTAAAGTATCTGACCTGTGATACACACAAAGCATGACCTGCTGGTTCTGGGTGTCCAGTGTGGCCAGCAATCTCGAGTCCAATCAGATGTGGCAGAGGGCAGGCTTTTCTGACAGAGCAGCCCATCCCTATCCTCCACCACTGTTCCTTTTTATCGTGAACGACCAAGAGTATGAGGTGGTGGTGTCTTGCCAATGGGTTTCCGCCCCGGGCAAGTTCACTGTGGATTCATTGAGACCAAGGAATGACAATGGGACATTCTTGGGGTGAAAGCATTTATACCCAGCTTTATTCCCATGGTGGCAGGTCAGTCACTAGAATCCCGTCCACCTCAGAGCGAGTCTGCATGCAGCAAGTCAGTCTCTGCCTCTGGGCCTCTCTGCCCCTGCAGCCGTCTGAGTCTCTGTCCTCAATGCTGCCACCACTCTGGTCTCTGTGCTCCTGCAGCCGTGTGGCCCTGCCACCATGTCGCCTAGAGCACTGGGCACTCTTTAGAGTCAGTAACAATATATTACCCACATGTGTGTAGTGAACAAGTCAGCCAGGTGAGAATCCCAGCCACAGGAATCTTCACTTGATCCACAGGCGGCAGGTAGATGGTTCCCTCCTTCGGTTTTTTTCCAAAACCAAACTCTAAACTTCCTGCTTCAAAGCAGGCAGCATGACATAGGTATATCAGAATTACCCAGAGGACTTTTTCATAGAAGTTGGGACTCTCTGATGCAATGATAGCTCTTCCCCCTTATATTACAATTAGAGCTTGCCATATTATCTTTCCAAAGGAATTAATAACATGCTTCCACAAATACTGCATGATGTAAATGTAAAGAATATATAAGTTCTGACCTGCATTCTCATCATGGTTCAGCCCTTTACCAAGGCTACAGTCAATCACCCCCCACCCCCGTGCCCATCAAATGAAGGTCTTGGGAGCTTGAGGTCTACAGCCCCTCCAGCTGCCACGGGAACTGGAACTTGATCGTGAGGCCAGGCCTCCTCCACTGTATGCCTGTGACACCACCACATCTCACTACCTAATGCTACTGATATTTAAAAATTAGTTTCCAAGTTCAGTTTTCAGAGCAATTTAATATAGGTATTAGGTGACGTGCTATAAGACTACCTGGATTTGAATCCTCTTTCTACCACTTAGTAGGTATGTGACCAGAACAAGTTATTTAACCCATATCTATTTGCTCACCTGTAAAGTACAAGTAACAATATATCCTCTACAATTGTTGAGGATGTGATATATTCATCTACATCTCTGTATGCATTTAAAATAGCTCAGTACAGGTATTCAAGTATTGTTAGCTGTTATCTAGCCACAGAAGTATAAATTATTATATCCCCCAGAACACTTATTTCCATTTCAAGATCTTGATGAAATGGCAAGATCTTTTGTAGTCCTAGGGAACATTTGTAGTGTATAGTAACTACCACATTCTCTAAAGGGTCTGGCATAAACTGTAGGTTTTTTCAATTTCATGTATTACTTACAAGATATAGTTCTGCATGCTAAGACAATGTTGATGAAACTAAGAAAGAAAGAAAAACCCTCAGAGATACCAGCTTGTTCCAGAGTGATTTCACAAGAAATCTACATTCCATGGTAGATTTCATGAAGTTGATGAGGTATTTACTGAAGGTATTTTTAACCACACTTCAGGTTCAGGGTTTTCTTCTTGGTACACCCTATGGAGAATCAGGAAGGAAAAGGTGCACGTGATCTTGAATGACTAGTCCTGAAACTTCCAATGTTACCCCAGGATTCAGTCATCAGGCTGTCTTTTGTACTTAGTCTGATATTTCAGTACAACTTTAATAGACAAAAGTGCTGAAGGTGTTTTATGTCTGCAAGTAGCAATAGATAATTGGGAGCAGTATTCTTATCCTATAAAAAGACCCCCAGGTCCCCAAGACAGCCAAGGCAAACAGGCTTCAAAGAAAGCAACTTTGTTCCTAGAAACCTAAGCTCTTAAGATGCTTATTATAATCTTGTAGTCAGGCCAACTTCCCTGCCAAAATTAAATTTTTTTTTTTTGAAGAACATTGTTTACTAGGCTCCCCCCTTCACCAAGTCCCCCCCACATACCCCATTACAGTCACTGTCCATCAACGTAGTAAGATGCTGTAGAATCACTACTTGTCTTCACTGTGTTGCACAGCCTTTTTCTGTCTTAAGTAACTTTTGAAAGACATTAGAGATTAGGTAATCAGAGATCAAAACTCACTGGGTTTTTAACCTAATATTGCAAACTGTTTATGCCTGCAAGGTAGTCTAGTGGTGTTTCAAGCACATTGGTCACATGCATCACCACTTAGATGTCTTGTTCTCTAAGATACTCTTAGTTCTACACTAGGTAGAAGTCAGTCTCTGCCCCTGGAGCCTGTGAACAGCTGTTCTATCAGGAGAACTCAAGCATAGAACTCAAGCTGCCTCAAGTGGCAACACAAAAATTGAGTATAAACTATGATTAAGAAAAAATGCTGTGTGGCATCTCCACCCTACATTTGGATCGTTAATTAGTACTCACAGCCTTGCTGGCAGAGTACAAGCCATAATCATAACACAGATATAAGCAAGTGTTGCAGTAGCTTCATGAAGTGAGGCCAGCTAAGCGGCTTGCCCTTCCAGAGAGGTTAAAGCCGCTGACATAGCCACAGATGACTTAATGCCCTCTTTATCCCCAGGAAGAATGGAAGTGCCCAGGTAACACTTAGCAAGCCAAAGGTTTAGAAAAATAAATATTGTGTGGTATCTCTTACATGAGGGATCAAAAATAAAGAAGTTGAAATCATAGAAACTGAAGAGTGAAAAAGTGGTTACTAGGGGTTAGGGGATGGGGGAAAGAGGTTGGTAAAAGGGTACAACGGTCAGCTATAAGATGAATAAGGTCCAAGGATGTAATATATAATATGGTGATTATAGTTGGTAACATTGTGGAGTTAAAATTTGCTAAGAAAGTAGAACTTTAATGTTCTCAAAAAAAAAAGGTGAGGTTAATGGATGTGTTAACTAGTTGGGAGGAATCCTTTCACAATGTATTTTATATCAAATCACAATGTACATTTTGATCTTAGAATTTTATTTGTTAATTATACCTCAATAAAGCTGAAAAAAATATCCTGCAGGCTGGAGACCAAAGAAGAGCCAGTATTTCAGCCTGCATCTGAAGGTGGGAAAAGACGAATCTTCCAGCTCAGCCATCAGACTGGCAAGAGTAGTAAAAAAACAAAACAAGCTATGGGTCTCTCTCTTTTTGAAGCTCTAAAGCCCATAGTCCTTAATTTCCCCCAAAGAAACTTATTTTTCATTAGCCAACCTCCCTCCACCCTGTAGAAAACCACCACTCAGGAGGAGAAAGACAAATACCATATGATTTCGCTTATTTGTGGAATATAAAAACAAAGCAAAACAGAAGGAACAAAACAGCAGTAGAATCACAGACTGGTGGTTACCGAGGATGGAGGGCTGGGGCAGGTGCAGGGAGAGGGGGAGGGGAAGAGGATAAAAGGGCCAACAATCGCAATCACAGTATAAGTTGATCAGGGGGACTATAGAACCACTGTGATGCACAGTTGAAAGCAATACTTAATAAAAATAAAACCACCACTGAAGAAATTCAGAGGGTCAACTAAAAATCGGGTAGATTTTCATGAAGATATCTTCATGAAAATAATAATGAAGATTTATAGGTCAGATGCATTCCAAAGGGCAAGTCAGTTTACCAAGATTATACCTATCAGTGCACTTAAGGTATTCTGTTAAGTGAAAAATCTGAGTGACTGAGTCCTAGGTAGAAGAGGGTTAGGGGACATCAGTGACCGTGGCCAGCAGCAGCCAGGAAGGCCACGGGCATCTCCTTTGCCTCCCAAAATACAAGTCCCTGAAGATGCTTCTGCAAAAGGTTAGGCAATATTTGCTTTCCAAAAACAACTATATATATAATTTTTTTCCCTATACATGTGCCAGTTACTCTCTATTTGCTCCCACTGCAACCCCTACAGTCATTCTTCACCTTTTTCTACACTTCAAAAGGCTGACCTCTGAGAACACCAGGCCCCGAACAATTTTCCCTCTGCCTTCAGATTGCATTCAGCAAATGGGAGCCAGTGATGGGGCGGAGAGAATGGCATGTTTCTTCCCTGACTTCTCTGCTCCATCTGCTGCCTGGGTTCCCCGTGATCCTTCAGGCCCAGGGGGCAGAATGGCCTCCTGTTGCCAGCAGCTGTAAGGGGCACCTCAACATCTTTACTGGGTCTGCAAGCCTGGCCCACACTGTAAACAGTCCTTTCATTAGCTTCTCTCCGAAGTCCCACATGAGGGTGTGCTTCCTACTGGGACCTGCACATCCGCACAGTGCTCCCCTTCCAATTCAGTGCAATGCAGTCCCGAAGGTTTTTATCAGGCATTCTGTCTGCGTGGCATATACTCTGGGGATCCTCTCAGCCTTCCAATAAAACACCATAAAACCTGATGGTATCATTCAATATTTTATATGCAAAAAGATCAGTTTTCCAACATTTATTCCATTGAATGAGAGCATGGCATTTTCATGAACTATCTCAGGGCTACATCAGTACAAAACAATTTAAATTAGTAAAACAAAGCAATTTCAAAATCACTTCAGGGTGAGTGACACCACTACCTGGGAGCAAAAGACAAGGCAGCAAGGTGGTTTCTGTGTCACACGGGGACAGGCCGCAGGTACAGTGTCCTTGTGTTCCTGCACAGAGAGAGGCTCCCCAGCTTTAGGGCACCCCCTCTTCAGGAGACGACTGAAGGGCAGAAATACATCGCCTTGTTTATGTTCACATCTGGATGACATTTCCTTCTTGGCCACAGTGAGATACTCGGGAGTTCAGCTCAGCCACGGATCCCATGTGTACGACCTGATCAGAGGCTTCAGGGAGGGGCATGCGCTGCGCGAGGAGTGATGGGGGTAAGAAAGGGGAGCAGATAACCTTATGCAACAGACCCAGAATCAAATTCCTTCCTCATGGGCCAAGATGCCCTGTGTTTGGCCCACTGATTCAACCTCGAAGCTCCCCAAGAAACTTATTTTTCATTAGCCAACCTCCCTCCACCCTGTAGAAAACCACCACTCAGGAGGAGAAAGACAAATACCATATGATTTCGCTTATTTGTGGAATATAAAAACAAAGCAAAACAGAAGGAACAAAACAGCAGTAGAATCACAGACTGGTGGTTACCGAGGATGGAGGGCTGGGGCAGGTGCAGGGAGAGGGGGAGGGGAAGAGGATAAAAGGGCCAACAATCGCAATCACAGTATAAGTTGATCAGGGGGACTATAGAACCACTGTGATGCACAGTTGAAAGCAATACTTAATAAAAATAAAACCACCACTGAAGAAATTCAGAGGGTCAACTAAAAATCGGGTAGATTTTCATGAAGATATCTTCATGAAAATAATAATGAAGATTTATAGGTCAGATGCATTCCAAAGGGCAAGTCAGTTTACCAAGATTATACCTATCAGTGCACTTAAGGTATTCTGTTAAGTGAAAAATCTGAGTGACTGAGTCCTAGGTAGAAGAGGGTTAGGGGACATCAGTGACCGTGGCCAGCAGCAGCCAGGAAGGCCACGGGCATCTCCTTTGCCTCCCAAAATACAAGTCCCTGAAGATGCTTCTGCAAAAGGTTAGGCAATATTTGCTTTCCAAAAACAACTATATATATAATTTTTTTCCCTATACATGTGCCAGTTACTCTCTATTTGCTCCCACTGCAACCCCTACAGTCATTCTTCACCTTTTTCTACACTTCAAAAGGCTGACCTCTGAGAACACCAGGCCCCGAACAATTTTCCCTCTGCCTTCAGATTGCATTCAGCAAATGGGAGCCAGTGATGGGGCGGAGAGAATGGCATGTTTCTTCCCTGACTTCTCTGCTCCATCTGCTGCCTGGGTTCCCCGTGATCCTTCAGGCCCAGGGGGCAGAATGGCCTCCTGTTGCCAGCAGCTGTAAGGGGCACCTCAACATCTTTACTGGGTCTGCAAGCCTGGCCCACACTGTAAACAGTCCTTTCATTAGCTTCTCTCCGAAGTCCCACATGAGGGTGTGCTTCCTACTGGGACCTGCACATCCGCACAGTGCTCCCCTTCCAATTCAGTGCAATGCAGTCCCGAAGGTTTTTATCAGGCATTCTGTCTGCGTGGCATATACTCTGGGGATCCTCTCAGCCTTCCAATAAAACACCATAAAACCTGATGGTATCATTCAATATTTTATATGCAAAAAGATCAGTTTTCCAACATTTATTCCATTGAATGAGAGCATGGCATTTTCATGAACTATCTCAGGGCTACATCAGTACAAAACAATTTAAATTAGTAAAACAAAGCAATTTCAAAATCACTTCAGGGTGAGTGACACCACTACCTGGGAGCAAAAGACAAGGCAGCAAGGTGGTTTCTGTGTCACACGGGGACAGGCCGCAGGTACAGTGTCCTTGTGTTCCTGCACAGAGAGAGGCTCCCCAGCTTTAGGGCACCCCCTCTTCAGGAGACGACTGAAGGGCAGAAATACATCGCCTTGTTTATGTTCACATCTGGATGACATTTCCTTCTTGGCCACAGTGAGATACTCGGGAGTTCAGCTCAGCCACGGATCCCATGTGTACGATCTGATCAGAGGCTTCAGGGAGGGGCATGCGCTGCGCGAGGAGTGATGGGGGTAAGAAAGGGGAGCAGATAACCTTATGCAACAGACCCAGAATCAAATTCCTTCCTCATGGGCCAAGATGCCCTGTGTTTGGCCCACTGATTCAACCTCGAAGCTCCCCAGCCTATTGAAAGCCCACTGTGGCGGGTGTGACCGACAGAAAGCACGGGTCTGAGTGCCTGTAGGAGGAAGGGGGAGGCTGGGCGGTACTGCTGCCTATGCAGGCTGCTGAGAAAAGTTTCCTGCGGTGCTCTGGGAATCCTGCCGGGCGTTCCCTTTGTCTTTTCTGCCCATCTGGAGAACACTTTTAAAATACCAAGTTAAAAAAATTTTTTTAATCTTTATGTAGCTATCCTGGACACTTTTTCTTCTGTTCCCTCCAAGATGGTTATAACTTCTGTATGACACTTTTTCTTTAATAATAAAACTACCCAGAAGGTTCATAAAACACTGGTTGGCAGTGCCTTGTTGATACTCTATGCATCGCATACTACGAAATACCTTTTTGGTATTCTACACAGTCTGTGCTAAGGGACGTCACACCGATTTGTTTAGTATTGCTGGCATCAGGCTTAAAAATCCTCACCTAGTGTATCAACCCACCCCTGACGCATGCCCCAGGTACGACATGACCCATCTGCTCCCTGCTGACCGATTCACCTTCTGAGAGACCCTTGTGCCCTCACTGCACATGCTTCCATGACAGTGGGCTTGGTGCCACACAAGCCGCTCCAGTCAGCTTTAGAGTTCATCGTGTTTGACCTCCTGGTCTTTGAGTTTGAATTCCTCAGCCGTGACCTTCCCATCTCCATTCCGGTCCTGGTTGGTGAACATATTCTTCACAATCATCTCCGCATCAAACCCAGGAGCGAGTTTCCCTTTGCCAGATGCCACCTGGGCATGAATATACTCTGAGAACTGGAGAGAAAGGGAGTGAGACAGACCGTGAGGTGCAGTAGCCAAGCACTGAGCCAGGGCTGAACAGAGCAGCCGAAGGGCAATGTGGCTGGAATGTGAGTGAGCTAGCCAAACAGACAGGAAATCTTAAGAGCTGCACAACTTAAGTTTCCTTCCCCAGATGCAGGTTAAAAACCCCTCACTAAAGGACTCAGGAGCCCACAGGTTCCAGGCAGCGTTTAACACAGCAGCCACTGGTGCTGTCCCTTCCCAAATTAATCCTTCGTTCTGCACCAAAGGCTGATCCCCTAACCACCCAGACCCAGCCTCTGAGAACATGGCTACCTGCATTCATTCATTCATACGTATATTGAAAACTTATTGTCTACTGTATGCTGAACATCATCTTAGACCCTAAAGGTACATCCATAAACAGAACATCCTGCCTTTAATTCTAGCATATTCTAGTGGAAAGGATACAATTAAAAATGAACATTAAAATAAGTAAATTACATATTTAGTTAGAAATTAAATTACACATTAAGTTAGAATTTGTGGAATGTTCCTCAAAAATGAAAATGTAGGGCCAAAGAGGGAAGGTGAAGAATAAAACTGGGACAGCAAGGGGGAACATCAATTTGGCAGTCAGGGTAAAAGCCCAGTGGAAAAGGGAGACTGTGCAAAGGCTTGAAGGAAATGAGGGAATGAGCCAAACAGTTACCTAGGGGAGCATACTCTGAGCAGAGGGAGCAGCTGACACAAAGGCCGAATGGATGCATGCCTGGTGTGTTCACAGGACAGCAGGAGGATAGCAGCTGGGCAAGAGGTTGCCATGAACAGGTCAGATAGGGCCTTTGCAGGCCCATACAGGGACTCTGGAAATGGGGAGGGGGCTTCCGCAGAGTTCTGTGATAAAGCGGGCCATGATGCAACCTGTGTTTTAGAAGGATCACTGGCTGGCGTGAGGGGTACGGGTGAAGCATGAAGACTGTCAGAGAGATGTGTGCACTGGGCTAAGATGCAATGGACTAGGGGTGGAGAGACATCAGGCTCTGGATGTATTTTAAAGATAGAGCTAGAATAATTTCCTCAAGGATTATTATACCTATAAGAGAACAAGACGAGTCCAAGATGACTGGGTACTCTCTCCTGAGCAACTGGAAGGATAGAATTGCCAATGGAAGAGATGGGGAAGGCTTTGGTGAAGCAAGTTGGGAGTAGAGAATGGACATCAGGGTTCACTCGATGAACTGTCAATCCAATGAAATTGGACATATGAGTGTGTAGTGAAGACGGAAGAGCAGACTAGAGCTACAAACTTGGAAGTCATCAGGATATGGATGGTAAGCCAGGGGACTGGATGAGGCCTCCAAGGGAGTGATGTGAAGGTGGAGACGAGAGTACTTCGCCTGGGACACTCCGACATAAGGAGATACGGGAGACTCCTGAGAAGGAGCTACTGGTGAGGTAGAAGGGGCGCCAAGCAAGGGTGACGATCGCAGCTGAGGAAGGCAGGCATCCTGCAAAGGAGCGAGCTGTGTTTCATCCAGTAAGGAAGGTGAGAAGTATCCACTGGATTCAGCAATGTGAAAGGCACTGGCCCCCTTAGCAAGACCAGATTCGGTGGCATGCAGGGACAAATGCCCGACAGGAGTCAGTTTAAGAGATGAGGAGAGGAACTGATGGGAGGCAGGGAGGCCAGACAACTCTTTTGAGGATTTTATGATAAAGGGAGCAAATAAATAAAAGACATACAGAGACACATCAAGAGAAGGGAAAATAATAGCATGTTTTTATGTGAATGTGAACAATCCAGTAACCAAGGAACTGTTGATATTAAGAGAAAATGGGGATAGAAGAGAGAGAGAAGCCTGGAGACTGTCCTTGAACAAGCAAATGTGGAGGAGGAAGCAAGCTGGGATTCACCCAGGCTGTAACAGGACAGAGGACTCTTGCCAGGAGCTCCAGGAAGGGGTATCTGGTACCGGAGAAATAGCACAGGATAAAGTTGGGGGTGTGTATCCTGGTTTGAACCACTGGGTAGCTGTGTGTCCTTCAGACAAGGCATTTACATTCTCTGTGTGCTGCTGCTGTTCTGAAAACCAGTGATGATTACATGGTTGTGTTGAGAGCCAACCAAGATCATATATGTAAAAAAACTTAGCACAATGCAGGCCCAGGGTGAGCCCCCAGGAATAAGAACTGAATCCAGATGTGGGGGCCCGGTACCTCTCAGGGCCTCAGTTTCTTCAAGGAGGAATTGTGAGCTTTAGACTGTGTGTAGAAGGGCTTGGTACATGAGGGTATCAGCTACCACGAGAAGCACAGGTGAGCCTTCCCTCTGAGAAGGCTTCACATTCAGAGCAGGTCCCCGGCCCACGAAGGTTCCCCAGCCGCTCTGGTCCCACTTCCCTTTAAGGTCAGTTACCTCTACGAGAAGGACTTCTCCATTGCCATCCTTGTCAATTTCTTCATAGAGGTTGGGTGACACCTCGTCATTCCATACAAACATGTATCCCTCGGGCAGGCCAGCCACAAGCTCCAGCAGCTCGATGTCAAACACCAGCACGGCACTGCCGGGCACTTCTCCATCTACCTCACAGGCGGGGAGGCAGAATTAAGCCACAGGGCAGCAGATGTGCGTGTCCCCTCCGCCCTCCCCCACCCGGGGGTCTAGCTGCCATAGGACGGTGGGCGTTTCTTGTGAAGGCTAGAAAACTCAGCATCAGCAAGTGGTTTTTCCAAACTGCAGGCTGTAACCACTAGTGGGTCATGAAATTAGTTTAGAGGATGGTGTCCAGCATTTTAAAAAAAATTAATAGAATAAAATATCTAAGGGTACATTGCACATAGAAAGAATAGGTGTTATTCTATGAAACTTGAGTATCAATTTACATATAAAACCATGTACATATAAATTGTATGTGTATGTGTAAAAAAACAGGTTGGGTAATAAAATGTCTCTTATGGTGTGTCTTTGTGAACAACATTTGAAAGCCACTAGTAGAGGATATAATGGTAGAACTTTTGAATAAATCTAACAGCATAACTTAAGAATAATAACAGTATGCCTTAAAATCATGATCCAAGATAGGACTATATATATAAATTTGAGAACAGTATATATAGTATGGGCCCAAAATAAGTTTTATAAGTCTATGAAAAAAATCTGTAATATGTATTATTTAAAGTTATTATGATATGTTATAATAATTTAGAATATATGTCACAGGAGCATGGTCTTATAGGATTTCTACATCTTTTTTAAAGTGTTTCTTCTCAGATTGGGGTGGGGGGAAGTAGCAGAGCGTATTTTTTAAATTATTTGAAAAATTGTGAAAAAAAAAAAAAAAGAAAACCTGTCCAATCTGCCTATGCCTTTTACAAGTTAGCACTTCTATCTCCTCCAGATAGTAGGCGCATACAAACGCTGGGAAGGAAAGGGCTCCCAGTCCCGCATGTGTGCAACTCATTCTGGCCGAAATCATGAAGTGAGCCATAATAGCTTTGAGGGCGAGGTAAAGCTGGAATTTCCAGAACTGGAAACTAATCTCTTCTAAAAGAAAACTACTTGGAGAGTTTATAGGTTGAGAAGCACAAAGCAAAGGCCTGCAACACCCCACTGCTGCAGGAAAGGACACCGTTCCAGAAGGAAGCACTTATCCTTGCCTACAGCAGATGGCCTGGGACACCCCTTCAGGGATGTTTCCCACACAGGGTTGGAAAATGACTTATTTCACAGAAACCCCTGCTTTCTCAGGAGGACATGGGGTATTAAAATGGCACTAACACTGAATTCACAGGGGTCTTTAAACAAAAGTGTGAAATACTTAAACCACAGATTCTTTAGGTCTTAAATTAGAGCATTTCGTCTCCAAACATGGCACCCCAAAAAACACAAAATTCAGATGGTGAATATTCCCCAAACACCCTTTAAAAATGTTGCTCACTCACCCACGCCAGCCTCCCCGTAGCCCAGGTGGGGCGGGATGATCACTGTCCGTTTCTCTCCAACACACATCTCTCGGAGACCCATATCCATTCCCAGTACAACTTGGCCTGACCCCAAAACAATATTATACGTTTTGCCTAAATTCCACCTGAAAACAAACAAACAAAAGAGTTCTGGGTTAGATCATCAACCCATTGGTACTTGAGAATATTTTCATGAGAAGAGGACATCACTTCTGTAATCTTTCTGCCCAAGATCCAGAACACCTATCTCATCACGAGGAAACAGACATGCCCAAATTGAAGGCCTCTTCTGCAAAATAACCAGCCTGTAATCTTCAAAAGTCTCAAGGTGACAGTCAAGGGAAGACTGAGGACTGCGCCAGACTGCTGGAGCCTATTGGAAGGAGATCCTTTTGTTACAAAAGAACTTAAAAGGAACATTTGGCAAAACTTCAGTGGGGTTTGAGGATTAAAAGGTAGTGATGTATCAAAGTTAACTTACTGATTTTGATGTCTGCATTGATTATGTAGGAGGATGTCCACATTTGTAGGAAATGCAAACTAAAGTACTCAGGGTGAGGGAATCATGGTGGCAACCTACTCCCCAGTGGTTCAGGGGAAAAGAAGTTCTTTGTGCTGCTCCTGCAATTCATCTCTAAGTTTTAGCTAATGTCCTAGTCAGGAATTTTCATAAAAACTAAAAATATATATAATATAGTTAAGACCCTGGATTTTCGATTCTCTACTGAAAATAAATCTACTTCCAAACCTACAACATTCCTACCACTTCCTAAAGACAAACAGCGGGAATGTTCCTCAATGTGGAAGAAGCCTCCGTTTATCTTGGGGCCCCTTGCTGACAGGCCCAACATGGGAGGGATGGACACCCCCTTGGGTCGCATCCCTTCCAGGTTCCCAGCCTCACCTGCTGCCTCTAGCCCCTCAAACTGGCTCCCAGGGCCTGGCTGGTTCTCTGGGGCCAGCAAACCAAAACAGGGTTTGTATCTGTCCTACCCAGGACGAAACCAACGCAAAGCCAACTCTGGCAGAGGGTGCCTTGGCCCAAGGCCTGCGGGAGGGGGAGAAGGGAGCAGGGGGCCTCTGTCCCACCCCCACCGCAAAATGCCTCCTTGTCAGCAGCACAGAGGAGCCTCACACTACCTTTCTCGAGGGACCACTGGAGCCTTCCCATGGGACTACTTGATTTCAGATTCTTACAGAATATTTAAGAACCCATTTAGTTATCAAATAATGAGTCTTCCCATCTGAGGCCAGTTTAGACACATGTTAAGAAAATCCTCCAGCAAACAATTTGTTTCCATGTGTCATCTACAAAAGCCACTGATTCCTTCCCTCAGGTCATCCTTTCATTTGTATTTTTACAATACAAATGACATTCTCCTCATTCATTCTCCTCATTCCTTCTGTGAGTTCCCAGCTTCCCACCCATCGCAAGCTTCCTGCTTCCTGCTTCCTGCTGGCAGGCGGCCTTCTCTGGCTCTCCCCCCACATTCCCTGTCCTCTCAGCAGCCAGCCTCTCCCAGAGCTGATGAACAAGTGTCCACAGTGGCACCTGCCTTGATGTTTATGGGGCTACGTGGGGCTCAGGGCGGGACCAGGTTCCACTTCCAGAAGGGGCTCCTCTCGCATACACAGGCAGGCAAACACCTACCGCCCTTCCCATTTTCCCATTACCCTGAAGCTTAGACCCAGAAGAGACCAGCAGGGACGCCTGGATGTTGCTCCTCTGTGTAGATTTTCATGCTAACACAAATGACTCTCCTGGCATAGGATGGAGTCTGATAAGAGAAAAGAGTATCATAGGGCTCCCAATACTCTGTAAGAGTGTCGTGAATCCGTCAGATACATCAGAAAGCAGGAAGACGGACTCTCCGCACCCTGTAAGAGAAGCACATCCTGAACCCACTGAGAAGGAATTCCGTTGTTCATTTTCCACCCCTAACTTCCTCTTTTCACCACCTAAGAGTACCAGACAAGAATATGAACGTTGGTAAAAGAGATGACAGCAAGCCATTGACCTCACAGACTGTACTAACCTTGGGGGCCATTTTCATTTGCATAAATTCACTTGATCCCCTAAACAACTACAAGCTGTGTTTCCTCCTGCTGCTACAAAGGCTCCTGATATTAGTGTGAGGTTTACTGTAAGTCATATCCCCATAAATATTTGCCCCAGGAGGTAGTATTTACATCGTTGATTCTACAATATATTTTTTTTCACCTTTTGACACCTATGTAATTGAGATGCATTTTACAATTGACAGCATGTCATTATTTTTGGCAGCATTTTTACTTTCTTAGAGGTATATAAAATGATGCTTCTAATAATCAATACATTTTAGTTAGATCTGAAGAAATATGCTAAATGCATTGGTGTACAGGATCTCATAGCACCAGAAAAATGTCTCTGAAGAGTATGTCCCTAGGACTCTGTCTCCATGGCCTTGCTCTCCACAGCCATACACACTGCCACCTGGAGCCAGAAGGTACAGGGACTGGTGGGAGGGAGAGAAGGCCCTCCCCTCCTCATGGAAAATAAATACAGCAGCACACACGTCTTCATAAGAAGCCCTTGTTTCTCCCCAAGACCAAACTTAGGAATCTAAGTCAGGCTCTGTATAGAAGTGGATGTACTTAAATGGAGATATAAAGAAAGGCTGAAATTGTTTCCCAAATAAGAGAATATATCGTATTAATTTATATCATAAGATAAGTCTGAACATTCAGAAAAATAAGCAAAGCTCCTTTTACCTGCATGATACTAGCTTATACTGTTGATTCCTATTAATATGTGTTCAGATTCATCTCAGCCAATTAACATTTATAAAATGTTCCCTTTGTGCTATGCTCTGGGCTAAGTGTAAGGAATAAAAACATGAATAAACATGTTAAATGTCCCTAAGGTATTCAAACCAGCAAAAGAATTAGAAAGAAAAATAGATAGCTAATAGGAGGTAACACATAAAATAAACATCATGAGACTACAGAAGTGGAAGCAGTTGATTCTTCCTAGGAATTAAGGAAAGATTTTGAGAGAAGGGGAATACATTTAAGCCATGGCAGAAACTGGCCAGAAGGGAGTAAGCAGTGCACATCCCGCACCACTGCACGTGGCTGCCTGGGAGGCAGGAGATGGGCCCCAGCAGAAGGCGAAAGCAGTGAAGCAGAACAGCTGACAAAGACCTGATGGCCAGACCCCAGAGTCTGGACTTCATCTGCAGGTAAATTTTTAAAGACAGCAGTTGTGATGTCTGTTTTCACAAAGACAGTTTCACAGGAGCAGGAGGAGAGTATTCATGGGGAACTCAGAACAGTGCCCCGTGCGGGGGTGTTGGCTGGCTCTCTGCAGTGGGGAAGGTGTGGAGATAGAGCTGTCAACCAGTGGCTGATGAAAGGCGAACGGTGGGAACACAACTCCAGGCTCATTCCCCCACCATCCGACTGCCCTTACGTGGAATCCAGCAGGGTCCCATCCAGCAGCGAGGCGTTGTAGTGATACTTGAGGTAATCCCCCTTCTTACTCAGCACTGAGCAGTCGGGGGGCTTGTAGTGGGAGGTGACGCTGATGGAGTCAGAAGGGTTGTGGAAGTCGATCACGTGGATGTCAAACACCAGCACAGCCGAGCCAGGAATATCCCCTGAAGGACAGACGCGGGAGTGAGTGAGTGGGTGAGCCCTGCTAGGGGCAGCGCCTGCGCCTCCCGCCTCACCAGGCGGGTCCTCACAGACCTCCCGTGGGGAACGCGGGACCCAGACCTGGGAGCCCAGGGAACACTGGGCGACTGAAGCTGGAAGGCAGGCAGAAGCGACCTACCCCTCATTTTATAGATGGGGAAACTAAGGCATGGACTTGTGCAGGGTCACGCGCTGTTAGGAGCGCAGTTTGGACTACAGTTCAAGGTGATGCGCTCCAAACTCACCAAGCCTGAGCAATTTATGGCTAGCTTCATCACAGTAAGAAAATGAAAGCTCAGACAATCTAAGGCTGTGCTGCTCCTGCCAGAGGTAGAGGTGAGATGGGAACATCAGCTGGAGGGTGGAAATCACCGCAGGGCCCTATCACTGCATAAGAGAACTAAAACTAAGAGAAACGACATGGGAGAACAATACCTAGCCAAAACTGGTCACATCCACCCTTCACGATACAGTACACCTAACATTCAGAGTACTTTCACAACACATCCTACTCGTCCTATACAAAATCATCAATATGCTTTTCTTCTCCATTATCTCCACTTTTGAATACAGCACCTCACAACTGAACAATGTTTTACACACTTAACAAAAGTCCTTTTCATTTTCTAATTAAATCCCTGCCGCAAACTTGTGAGGTATTACCATAAATCCAGGATTAGAACTCGCTTCATGAATTTAATGATAGCTTCTCAGGGACCTGGGGGTCCGAAGCACACCTTAAACATATGCATCAGTTATTCAACACACACCCAGATGATTGCAGAAAAGTTTAATATAAAAATTTTGTAAATGGTGTTACTTACAACTTAGAATCAAGGATGTATACTATTTATATTACCATTTTATAGATAAGAAAAACCAACACAGAGATGATATAACTTGTTCAAGAAAACAACACAGCTATAGACAGAATTCAGATGGAGATAAGCTATGTGAACACCAGCGGCCCCTCCCTGCCCCCTGCCCCTGCCATGTACTTTTCTGTGTCTGTTTTTCAGTTGCTGTCTAACATATACACTTAATGCTGTCTAACATATACACTTATTAAGTACCAGGCACTTTTCTAAGTGCTTTATGTGTATTAACTTATTTAATTCTCATTACAATCCCATATGCCCAACCTAGAGATGAGTAAACTGAGGCACAGATTTTGGGGGTTGCACAAAATTTCTAAAGTAGTCGTTAGAGAAGCTTTGCCTTTATAGCAGAACTCAGGTGCCTGATATTCACTAGTGATGGGGAGTTGCTGATGAGTGGTAACAGGGTGCAGGAGCTTTCCCACCAGAAACAGGTATTGCAGACTGCCACATAGGTTGCTCAGAACCAGGGCTTAGGGTTGCTCTATGTGGGAAGCTAGCCACACTAACAGGGTGAGTGACTGTCGAACCAGAACACTGGTTTCTCAACCTTGGTTGCCCATTAAAATCAACTAGGAATGAACCTTGAAAACATTATGCTAAGTGATAGAAGCCAGACACGAAATCATTCTGCATGATTCCATTGATGTGCAATGTTCAGAACAGGGACAGAAAATAGATTAATGATTACCAGATGTGGGGGTGTGAGTGTATGCATGAATGCGGAGTGACTGCTTAAGGAGTATGCAGTTTCTTTTTGGAGTGATGAGACATGGAATTAGTATAATGGCTGTACAACCTTGTGAATACTAAAACCCACCAACTGGACACTTTAAAATAGTGAATTTTAAATTATGTGAATTTATATCTCAATAAAAAATTAAAAATCTCTCTCCTAGATGTAGATTCAAAAGAATTAAAAGTAGAGATTTTAACAGGTATCTGTACACCAGTTTTCACAGCAGCATTATTTACGATAGCCAAAAGGTGGGGACCAGCTCACTGGCCAACGAATGGACACATAAAATGTGGTATAGCCATACAATAGAATGTTATTCAGCAATAAAAAGGAATGAATATTGATATATGCTAAAATACAGATGGACTTTGAAAACATTATGCTAAGCAAACTAAGCCATACACGAAGGAAAAATATTATATGATTCCACTTACACCTAGAATAGGTAAATTCATAGAGCCAGAAAGCAGAAGGGTGGTTGCCAGAGGTGGTGGGGAGGAGGAAATGGGCAGTTACTGTTTAATGGATATGGAGTTTATGGTGGGGACGATGAAAAAGTTTTGGTGAGACAAAATGGATGGACCTTGAGGCCATCGTGCTAAGTGGGAGAAGTCAGACTTTGAGAAAGACAAATATAATATGGTATCACTCATACATAGAATTAAAAGAGTCAGAACTCGTAAAAACAGAGTAAAACAGTGGTTACCAGGGCTGTGGGGTGGGGGAACAGTAGAGATGTTACTTAAGGGTACAAACTTACAACTAGTAGATCATTAAGTCCTGGCAATCTAATGCACAGTATACTGATTACAGACACCAAGCTTGCTAGGATACAAGATCTTTTTTTTTTTCTTTCAGATTTAAAGTCATTCTCAGCCTTTTTTTTTTCATTTGATAAACATTTTTTTAATTAATGTATTATTGATATATAATCTTATGAAGGTTTCACATGAAAAACAATGTGGTTACTACTTTTACCCATATTATCAAGTCCCCACCCAAACCCCAATGCAGTCACTGTCCATCAGTGTAGTAAGATGCCACAGATTCACTATGTGCCGTCTCTGTGCTACACTGTTCTCCCGTGATCCCCCACACCATGTGTACTAAAAATAATACCCCTCAATCCCCTTCTCCCTCCCACACCCCACCCGCCCTCCCACACCCCACCCCTTTGGTAACCACTAGTTCCTTCTTGGAGTCTCTGAGTCTGCTGCTATTTTGTTAGGAGACTAGACCTTAATCATTCCTATCACCAAGAAGAAATGATCATGTATGACATGACAGAAGTGTTAGCTAAATCCAGGGTGATAATCACACTGTGGTAATAAGTGTATCAAATCGGTATGTGGTATACCTTATACTTACACAATGTTACATGTCAAATATATTTCAATTAAAAAAATAAAAATAAAGTTTTAGGTATAGATAGTGGTGGTGGTCAGACAAGCTTGTGATTATATTTAGTAACACTGAATTGTATACTTACAACTGATTAAAATGGTAACTATGTATATTACATACATCAATATTTGAGAACAGCAGGACCTGGCACTGCATTTTTTTAAAAGTTTTCCAGGGGGTTCTAAACGACAGACACGTTGAAAGAACGCTGTCCTAAATGGTCTATATGAGAGCAGCTGAGAGACTTAGGATAGTCCATCTCTATGAAGAGGACCAAGTGCAGGCCGTGGTCGCAGTGCGGTCGGGATTGATGGAAAAGAAAGCTGTGGCTTGACAGCTCCATGAACCGCTCGGAAGAAAACACATGTGGATGGGACCCAGAGTGGGACACCTACGACAGGACCTGCCAGCACTTAGCCAGGGCAAATTTAATCTCCCCTCAAAGGCACATTCAGACAGATGCAGTCCTTTCTCAAGGCCAAAAGGAACACGTTCCCAGACCACCCACTTCCCTGGGCACGGACACCAGTTTGTCCAGTTCTTTCCTAATAAGCAGCCACTCAGGTCCCAGGGATTCCATGCCCACAGATTCTGATCCTGGAAGAGGTTAATGACACCCTGTTAAGTAACTCTTAAGCATCCGGGTTGTACATCAGCTCCTGGAAGTTAACATGAGTTAGTCTACCAGGTGCCTGATTAAGGCCCAAACTCACACATCTATTGACTCATTGACAAGAACATAAGGTCTGGGTGGGCTTGGGAGTTTTGCTTGTCTTTTTTCTTGGCTGAGTCCCCAGCACTTAGAGCAGTACCTGGTCATGAAGGCACTTAATAAATCTTTGATGAATGGGCAGATGGGGTTTCTGGGCATACAAAAAATAAAGACCAGACCTCAAGCCACAGGATCCCACCTGCCCCAGGAAGCCAGCAGCCCCCGACCCCCTTCCCCCTATCCTGCTCTGCCTTCCACAAAGCATCGGGAGTGCAGGACAACATGCTGGCCAGTGAACAGGTGAAAAGGAATCTAACATTTTTTATGGCCCCAACACCAGCCTCCTCACAGAATAAACCCGTAACTGAATGGACATTCCCTTTCCTCCACTAGAGTGCCTCCTCAAGAAAGGGCACAGATAACAAAAACTAAGGCACTGGCTAGCGCTGCCAGAAGGAAACACTGCAGCACTCAGTGGCTGTGGTTTTCCTCCAAGGGCTCTGGGACTTCTGGTTGGAGCTGTCAGTTCTCCGTGTATGGGTATCAGCAAGCCACTGCCTACTGGAAACCCGTTCTTCCCCCTCGGCCTACAGCTCCATTACTAATTAGCTATTGTGGTCTTGGGCAAATGACTCAACCTCTCTGGGCCTCATTATCTCAACTAAGAACTATTTCAAGGTTTGAGAGTTCATAGGCAAGAAGTCCTTGACACACAGAGGATAAAATACTAGTTGTTTCCCTCTCTTTCCTAAAAGAGGTCTTGAAAGGTAATCTGGAAATTGAGAAACAGAAAACCATTGAGAAAGTGATGCTTTCACAAACCCTCAGGTAGAATCCATTCCCCCCTTCAGGGCTGCAAACAAATTCGAGTACCCTAAATTCAGGGCTGACCCCATGAAACAAAGCAGACAGTAGAAAGGGCCAGACCCTTTCAGGAAAGCCTACTCCCTCCCCTCTACCAACCCTGCAGGGAAAAGTGGCTACCACAAAATGAAATGTCCGTAATGGAGCCCTGAGAACTCCACATGAGCCCAGCATATTGCTTTATTCTGTAAGTATTTACTGAAGATTTACTCTGTGTCTGGCCCTGTGGTATGTGGTAAGGAAACCACAAATGTCTTCCGTGTCCTGACACCCTTTTTAGGGAGATCACAAGGTCCTATGCAAATCGCAAATCACACACAGAAGCCAGAGGTGCTAATCCAGAGGACAGAGGCCTGGAGACCTGGGTGTCACACGTCAGGGTGCCCCTCCTGCCCTGGTAACATATGATTCAGGAGGAAGCAGCCTCATGCCCAGAAAATTTATGGGCCTTCAAATGCCTCCCAGAGCCTTTTATAATTGTTCTCAACAGCTCTGTCTCATACTTGATAGAAAGCCAAGAGGAGAAGAGTAATTTAAGCAAATGTTTTCCATTAATATATTCTTTTTAGAGAAACAATTTGTTCCTGAGGGCATAAAAAAAACATGAATCCTCTGAAAGTATTTGTCTATTTCTATATGTATTTGATTAGAAATATAAGTTTACATGCTATAAAACAACGCCAGACAAACAGGACATGAAGCAAGGCCTGTTGAAGGAGTCTTACTTAAGCTGTGATCCATTGCAGATTTATAAATCAGAAATTTAAGTCAAGAAGAAAAAAAGTTTCTCCACAGTACATGCTAGTTTCCAACCAATCTGATATTTCATGTTTCTTAGATCTTCTGGACAAACCCTACTAAAAAAATTCCAAAGATCCACATGATATATCAGTAGTAGTCAGAAGAAGGTTAATAAAATGAATGTGTACAGCCAGCAACCAGAATCCATCAGCAAAAAAGAATACAAAAGCAAAATAAATACTGTATCAACTATTCTTAAGTTATCAATAATAGTACATGAGTAAAAAACGTAATTAAGAAAGAAAATGGTTTGGAATACTATACAATCATTAAAAAGTATCTGTTGGCCTAGAAAGATGTTCACAAAAAGTTAGGTGGAGAAATTTACAAAGTAATATGTATAGATGATCCCATTTTTGTCGGTATCTATTAGTGTAGGTGGCTGTGTAGTTCCTTTTACCTCCATAGATTTGCATATATTCGAAAGCATAAAAGGATAGTCACTCCATGGTTGTATTAGTTTCCTACTGCTGTTGTAACAAATCACTACAAAGTTGGTGGCTTAAATCAGTTCAAATTTATCATCATAACTCTGGAGGTCAAAAGTCTAAATTCAGCGTGCTAGCGAGGATGTGTTCCTTTTGGAGGCTTCAGGAGAGAACTGTTTCATGCTTTTTCCTCCAGCTTCTCTCTTAAAAAGACTCTTTTAAGTACATCAAGGCCCCCAGATGATCCAGGATAATCTCCCCATCTCAAGATCCCTACCTTAATCACATCTGCAAAGTCCCTTTTACCATATAAAGTAACATATTCATAGGTTCTGGGGCTAGATATGAACATCTTTTGGGGACACCAGTCTGCCTACCACGTTACAATGTTTATTCCTGGTGGTGGGATTATGGGAGAGTTTTGTTTGTTTATCTGTATTTTCTTTTTTCTTAAGTCAACATGTATTACTTGTTTAATTTTTAAAAGGGAGTTTGCTACTAATGTGACAAAAATGTCCTAAAACTAGATTAGGGCGATGGTTGCACAACTCACTACAGTTACTAAAAGTCACTGAATTGTATACTTAAAATAGGTGATTTTTACGGTATATAATCTACACCTCAATAAAGTTGTTAAAAATAAAAACCAAAAAGGGGGGTTTGTAATTTACTTTCAAATGGTTCAAAACAACAAAAAATGTCACGGTATAGAGAAAAAAATAAATATAGCAAGTTGTTAACAATTGGTGAATCTAAGCAGAATTCACTGCACATTTCTTCCAACTTTGGTATAGGTCTAAAAGTTTTCAAAAGGAAAATGGGCCACCTGTGGGGTAAAGGGGAAATAATAGAACATTTCTAGAAACTGAAGCTATTTGGGCATTTAAGTTTTAAGTTGGACTTTAACTTCAACATTTTGGCTCTGAGGAAGTCCTGGTTGCTTGGAAGCAGCCAGCTAGTGCCACTTAGTTTAACCTTAGGAAGGCAGCCAGCTCACCTCTTCCTTCCTCTCCATAGCCGAGGTGAGGAGGGACCACAATCCTCCGCTTCTCTCCGATGCAAACACCTAGCAAACCTTCATCCATTCCTGCAATCACGTAGCCCTGCCCGATGTATGTGTCAAAGGTACGGTTCCGCGAATAGCTGGAAGAGAAGATAGAAAAGAGGTTCCTCCCAAGGGACACCACAGCTGCTGTGTACATTAGTTGGTTCCAAGAGGCGACAGGAATGCAGAGGCCTCCGGGCCCTGGAATAGGGTGACCCACAAAATATGAGGACACAGGAAACAGGCTCCCCTGAAATGGCAAACAAGAACCCACACCCAGCACAGGAGCAGCTGTGCCAGGAACAGCCCCAGAAAGAAGCCTTTCAGCCCTCTGGTTCGGCCAGGTTATGATGGGCTGAGGGTGGCCAGAAGCAACCCCACGGAAATGGAACTAATAGAAATCGGACCATATGCTCGGTGACCATGTCAACTTAATGAAACAAGCATCAGGGGTAGCCCTTATAAGAAACTGAGAATGTGTCACAAAGAGAAGAACACCTGGACATGTGGACATGAATACTTGGATTGCCAGGAAAGTAGCATCTATACTGAGAGCAATTTAACTCTGCAGTCTGTACCAGAGCCGGGAGGAGCTCTCCTTGGTTCAGCCCCTGGTCACTAAGCTACCTTTTGGTGAGCCCTTGGGCTTCCCAAGTGCTTGGCAAGAGGCCAGGCATTCTGCTCAGTAGAGAGATCCAGCCTCTGTATAAATTGCCAATTGAGTCCAATTACTGTGAAATTGAAAACAGGAACCAATTCCCCAAGGCCTGATGACTCCAGAACACAAAGTAAGAAGACCGCATATGCCACGTCTGCTACCAAAAGCTGAACCATAGTGATCTTCACCCATTACCCTACGTTACCTGCCGCAGATGTGGCAAAAAGCCTGTCCTGAAAGAGCCAGTCAGTTCCAACACTACCTTATCCAACACAGCCACAGGGTGACTGCCTCAGAGAGGACCGCCAGCAGAGGGGGCCAGTGAGCTGGGAGGGGCTCTCCCTTATCAACACCCCTCAGAGACCACAAAGCCAAGGGGAATGAAGGAATAGGAACAGACAATTCTCCTCACCTGGGAAGCAGATTATCTGCATTGCACCCTGCAGGCGGCTGTGCAGAAGTACCCTTTCCCCTGCATTAAGGAGCTCCAGACCTTATCCCCTCACGCGGCCAGGAAGGCCAGGGTGGAAACACAACAGCAAAGGCAGGCAGGCTTGTCTCTCTAGCGTCCTCCAGGCCTCACTCTGTCCCCAGGTTACTACCTCTCTGGCAGGCACTTGGCGATCATCAGTGGAGGACAGCCCAGCGCTGGTTGTTCAGGGAAGAGGAGGCCCCTCTCAGGATGGGTGCCTTGCAAAGGGCTGTCACGTGGAGCGAGAGCGGCCAGGTGGAGCACTCAGCAGTTTCCGGGGGTGGAGGGAGTCGGCAGACCCTGAGGGGTGCCTGAGGGATGTGGGGATCAGCACAGAGAAAGGGCGCTGGGGTAACAGCAGGGGCCAGAGGCAGGGGAGAGCCTCAGCAAAGAGAATGGAGGAGCAGAGTGGACTTTAGGTGTAGAGAACTTCGAATTATTTTCAAAGATGACTTAAATAAATGGAAAATCATCATGGTCCCCAATGGGAAAGCTGGGAATTAGAAAGTTGTCAATGGCCCCCAAACTAATTTGGAAATTCTGAAACAGTTTCAATCAAAATTCGACAGGTATGCATGGGGGAAGGGACTCTAAAATTCATTTGGAAAAAGAAACAATTAAGAATACTATTTTGAAAGTGCAGGACATATCAAATTCTCATTCCTGTGAAAAATTTAAATGGGAGAATATGTATATGTATTTCATTGTGTGTAAAGGAAGACCTATGGCATTAATAACACAGGGGACCTGGCTGACTGAGGGACAAGGACAAGAGGGAAATTTTTCATTTTATACCCTTTTATTCTTTCAGGACTTTGAACCATGTCAGTGCGTCACTTGGACTTGGTAGGAAAAAAACAATATTTTAAAAAAGAGAAAGAACACTCTCTACCATACAAACAGAAAAGCAATAATAGTTAAAGGTGATACTGGCTCCGGAATAGCTAAATCAATGGAAAGGACAAAAATTCTAGACAAAGACCCAAAAGTATATATAAGAACTTGGTACATAATAAAAGTCACATTTTAGATGAGTGAAGGAAAGACTGAGTTATTCAGTAAAGGGGGATGGAAAAACTAGCCAAGCATCTGGAAAAACAGAATTTTGATCCTTACTGTCACACGGAATACCACAATGAATTCCAGATGAATTGAAGATTTAAACATGAAAGCATTTATGAGCATGGAGAAATGCAATGCAAGCTTATTAATATTTACCTCAGGGTGGTGAGCATGGAAGGGGTTGATAGGAAATTATTACAATTTATTATGCAATTCTGTGTTTTGCTTATACAATAAGAACATAATACTTTTTAAAATAAAAATTCTAATGGAGACTATTTTAAAACATAAAAAAATAAAACAATTAAAAGGGACCCAGGAAAAAAGAACTGAAAGAAGAATAAAAGGGCCTCAGGAAAATACAGGCAAATATTCATATATTCTAGGGGGAGGGGGCAGTCCCCAGAGACAGGAAAGACAGAAAAATAAGAATTAATACAAGAATAAAGGGAACAATAATGGAAAAGTTGAATGTATGTAACATAAAAAGTTTACATTTAAATAGGGCCAAAATCACAAAAACCAAAATAAAAATGCAAATAATCAGAGATATGCTTTCAACAGTATGTAACCATAAAAGTGTTAATATATTTAATGTATGAGATCTCTAATCAATAAGAACAGGACAAATACCATGCCCTCCCTATAAAAACAGCCAAAAGACATAAACAGGTAAACCACAAATGAAGATATTCAAACAGTCAATAAACAGTTGAACGAATTTCAACCTCAACAGCAATTCAAAGAAATTCAGATTAAAACTATAAGGTTCCATTTTTATCCTATAAATTGGCAAATATGAATTAAAAATGATTCTCAGTGCTACTGAGTCTGCAGGGAATAGGTCAGTCTTAGACAGTGATGGGGAGTAAAACCATAGTGTATATCAAAAGCTGTAAAAACACATATAACCTTTCACCCATAGATTTTTATAGAAATTTTACCCAAGGAAACAATCTTACATCTTAAGATTTAGCCTCACAAATAATTACTGCAGCCCTGCTTAGAATGTCAAAAGGTAGAAAACAATAGGGATGGATTACTTAAATTAAGGCAAATCTACATAATAAAATATTATGCAGCTGTTAAGATGGACCAGATCCCAGCGCATTAACATGGAAAGTTGCTTTAAACCTAGAAAACTGAGGTTCCATTAATGTGAAAAGAAATCTGTACACTAAAAAAAATGGCCTTTCTATTAGAAATATAATTTCAGGGAATAAAGGACAGAACCAAGTTTGTATGTAACACATAATGCACACACTCACAGATTTTCTTATAATAGAAAAAATAAAAAGAACTCAACTATTCATCAGTAGGGGAATGGTTAAATTTGGTATACCCACCAATGAAACACTATGCAGACATAAAAAAATAAATGACTTCTCTCTATGCATGAGCATGGAGAAACCCCAAAGTGAAAAAAAGCCAGAAGCGAAACAGTGTATATAATACATAACATAATATACATAATGTTAGATACTATAAAGGGAAGAAAATAAGATAATATTTGTATTTCCTTATATCTGGATTAGAAAAAAAATCCATATACTGGAAGAATAAAAAAGAAAATTATTAATAAAAGTGGTTAACTCTAAGTGGCTAGGGGAGAGGAGAATGTGAGGTAGGCAGGGACGAGCAGTATAACATATCTCAATGAATATTTTGTTTTATTTTGAACCATGTGACTATTACTTTTTCTCAAAAAAAAAAACAAATGAAAAATTAAGAGACCTTAGGAAAAGAGGGATGTGTTATTCAAATAAGGTAACACCATATAAAAATTCTTCAGTATGGTGTGTTTGGGATGACTAAATGAACTGATAGCTTATTACCTCAGAGAAACAGGTAGATTGCTGTCACTACTTGTTTGCTCTACTGGGAACTAAAGGCGTGGTTTCCAAAAACACATGCCACTTGAATGAGCAAGACATACCGAACAGCCTGCCGCCGGGCTGGGCTCTGAGCCATCTGCACAACTGCAGGCTGAGCCTGATAAACAAAACAAGATGGAATCACAACAGAGTCATGGCAGTCAGCCTCTGCAGCATCAGGAAGGGAGCTGAACCAGTTCCCTCCAGCAAATCAGGCTTTAAAGATCGTAAAGCACTCTCACAAGCTTTACCCTTGACTCTAACCATTTCGCTGAGAAAAGTGCTAATAGCGGAAAAAACGAAAGCCCAGGGAGGTCAAAGGCTGTCCAAGATACCACACACAGGAAGTAGAACCTAGGTCACTGGGCACCAAGTCTGTTCTCCTCTCATCGATCCTCTGGACCTCACTTCCGCCCACTTCCCATCTTGGACCCCACAGTTGGTGTGTATTCAGATAGCTGAGCACAGCGTAATGGCATGGTGGGAGCCCAGGGGGAAGCTCCCCTGTTTTCCTGCAGACTCATCTGCGGTAGGACCCAAGGAAGAGCCTGGTCTGACGACCTCTGAAGGAACTCGGTATCAGAAAACAGAAATCTGTATTGGAGATGAAAATACCAACCACAGATTAACACTGACAGGGCATTCAGAGAACGGTCTAGGCAGAAGCAGACTATATTTAATAAGATGTTCTGGTGAGTGAAGGCTCCAGTTGCCTCCTTACCTGGAATCAAAGAAGGTGCCATCCAGAAGCGTGCCATTGTAATGATACCTGAGAAAGTCCCCACTTTGACTTCGTCGCTCACAGTTTTCAGGTACTACCTTGTTCTCAATGGAAATGCCATCCTTGGGGTTATGGAGGTCCAATAATGCAACATCAAACACCAGAGATGCCTGTCCAGGAATGTCTTTCCCTAGAGGGGAATGGAGGAGGAGGATGAAATCAGGAAGCAACATTCAGGAAGTACTTTATAACTCGACACGCATGGTGTTGGTGCTACTCAGTCCTTGAAGTTCCCAAGCCAAGGAAATAAATGTTCTTCCACATCTTGGATGGTCCCCCGTGGTGCCTACATATGCTCTCTCACCATGTTGTTCAACCATGGGCCGGCAGGTATAATTTCTTTTTTATTAAGGTATCACTGATATACACTCTTATGAAGGTTTCACAAGAAAAACAATGCAGTTACTACATTCACCCTTATTATTGAGTCCCCACCAGCACCCCATTGCAATCACTGTCCATCAGTGTAGTAAGATGTCACAGAGTCCCTACTTGTCTTCTCTGAGCTACACTGTCTTCCGGTGACCCCACACACACCTTGTGCACCAATCATGTTACCCCACAATCCCCTTCTCACTCACTCCCCACTCACCCTCCCAACCCTTCCCCTTTGGTAACCACTAGTCCCTTCTTGGAGTCTGTAAGTCTGCTGCTACTTTGTTCCTTCAGTTTTGTTTCATTGTTATACTCTACAAATGAGAGAAATCATTTGGTACTTGTCTTTTACTGCTGGCTTATTTCACTGAGCATAATACCCTCTAGCTCCATCCATGTTGTTGCAAATGGTAGGACTTGTTTTCTTCTTATGGCTGAATAATATTCCATTGTGTATATGTACCACATCTTCTTTATCCATTCATCTACTGATGGACACTTAGGTTGCTTTCATATCTTGGCTATTGTAAATAGTGGCAGATATAATTTGAAGCCTGACTTCATCAAAAAAAGGAACAAACTGTTATTCATGACATGAGACTACAGTAAACATATTTTCTGTGCTTGTGCTGGCAGATCAAGGCTCTATGTGGGTGAATATGCACCCACATGCAAACCCAAATACATGCCTCTGTGGGTTTCTGTTTGGGTACAAATGCAAATCACAGACACTTAAAGGCATAAATTCCAAAGCCTGGATCTGGTTCTGGAGAGCACTACAGACTTTTTCTTTGGAACTAAACAGTCAATTCTTTTAAGACGCAAAATGCAAAACTCAACATTTTCAGTGCATCTGAAACAAGATATAAATTAAACTAAAGCTAGCTGAGATTAAAGAAAAAAATGGCACCCACAATCCAAAATAAAAATAGTCCTTAAATCATCTCTATCTCACATCTGGATGGTAAGGCTTGGCTTGGATATTCCTAATATTGGGGATTTTATTGAATATATGCACAATGATAATCCACATGAAGAGATCATTGGGTACTAGGTCTTCCTGCAAAGATCAACATCAACCACTAAATAACTCTAAATCCAGAACTTTGGGATAAAAGAAAGTTAACTAACAGACCACCAACCTCAACACCCTTACCACTGGTAATACCATGCAGAGGAGTAGGCCTGGACAAGTGAAGACGGCAAGCCAGGCCTCGGCTCCTTCAATTGGCTCTTTGGCAGAGCCCACCCTGACTCCTTGCCCTCAGGGGAGTGGTGAAATCTGCAGAAGGTGGGCTGCTGAGTCAGTCTCTGGAATGCAAGGTGTGGCCAATTTTTGAAGGGTGTGTGTGTGTGTGCGAATTTTAATCTTTCGTACTTTATCTTTTAATTTAATAGAAAAAAGAAAGCCTTAAGTTAACTCCAGGGTTTAAGTTTTTCTAGCATTATCATGTACTAAATGAATATTTGGGGTTTTTTTTAACAACTTTATTGAGCTGTAATTCCCATACCATACCTTAGCTAGACCTGGACACCTGAGCACAATACTAAATTAAAAAGTATTACAAAACAACTATTTTAAATAAGCTATTTATTTTAAATATTTAAATTAATTATTCATTTATAATAAATGAATAATAGTCCTCATATTAGAGTAGGTATCTAGTTTTATTATATACATCATATGCATGTGGATGATGTCAAAAGGATTTGGGATTCAAGGGAAATGAACTTCCACTGGCCAAGGTTGAGACAATTTGAGCATCAGTAAGAATGATCACATATCTCAGGGAGGGGAGAATTAAGACATATTTAGAGCTGTTGTTTTCAAACTTTATTTTTCTTTTAGCAGGGAATCTCCACCCACCCTGCTTTTTTAAAGAAACGGTCTGCAATGGAGGTGGGCAGGGAAGAAGGCTAAGCCCCATCCTCTCAGGCTCCCCTCTCCTCCTGCTCTGTAGACCTACAAAGCCAGGAAACACAGCTTGGAAAACATTCTATTGGGGGTTAGTTAAGTCAGGTAGCACTGTCAGTAAACTTCTTAATAACATCATGTTTTCATGTCCATTCTTAACTACATATATCTGCTTGTTTAAATGCCCAGAGGTCTTTTTGTTGTGTCAGCCTGTCACTATGATTAAATGTGCCTGAAATTCATATATGAGTAACTGAGAAACTTTACCAGCTAATATTCTGTTTTTCCTCACAGTAAAACTACAAACGGGACACTAGTTCAAATTACTGTTTTTTTCCTAGCATTATGCTTTGCATTTGTCTGCAAGGAACTAATACCACAGGTAAAACCCACTGTGGGGATATGAATCAGAGAAAATATGGTGATTCTGGCATCAGATGCTAAATTCTACCTTGGTGTTAACAGCCTTTAGACTGTCTAGTTCAAATTCCATTTCACAGATGGGAAAATGCAGGCTGGAGAGGTTGGTGCCCAAGGTTACAGCTGAGGAGGCAGTAGCAGATGGCTAACTTAGGGACACCGAGGATCATGAATATGTGGAGGTTTATGCAACTCAGTCCTCGGATAGCAGGTGATCTAGACCAGCACTGCTAGACAGAACTTTCTGCAGTGATGGAAATGCTCTGTATCTGAACTGTCCAGTGTGGTAGCCCTTAGTAACATGTGGCTACTAAGTACATGAAAAGTGGCAGTGTGACTAAGGAACAGAATTTTACATTTTATTTAATTTTAAGTATAAACAGTCCTATATAGCTAGTGGCTACTATGGTGGATAGCGCAAGTCTAGACCAGAAGGTCTGGTGGGTTTCACGTGGTAAGTTACATTAATCACTACAATAAAAGCAAGGACAGATGAGGGTGGCTTGAGGAATGGAAAGGACTTACCATCTCCATCTTCTCCATAGGCCAGAAAAGGAGGTATGGTGATGATGCGCTTTTCCCCCACACACATCCCCAACAGCCCTTTATCCATTCCGGGAATCAGCCAGCCAATTCCCACATACGTATCATATGTTCTCATGCGATTGTGACTGAAAACCAATGAGAAAGGGGAAAAGTTCCATGTCATGAGGGTGTTTCTAATTCATCCCATGGGAAGGTTTTGGTAATCCAGATCTAAGCTAAATGGTGAACTCATCCCCATCCCCAGAGACAGGCATTTATGGGATCTTTGCTCCCAAACTCAGAAATCCTCAAGTTAAGGAAGACATGAAAAGTGTAGCATTAAGCCACAGTGTTCCACAAAAACAGGCCTGCTAGTCTATCTAACCAAACATGATCATGAGAGGAAAGCCCAAAGGGTTCATTGTTCTCTGGCTGAGTACTTTACTTCTGCACTTCTCTGTAGTTTCATATACATTCAGCTTTCTCCCCGCCATCCATGGAAAAACCATAAAAATAAACCAAAAAATGCATGAACCTACTTGGAATACGGCCTGTTACTTGATGACGAGATCTCAAAATATGTTAATTTAGATAAACCTTGCTCTTAGATTTTTCTAAGATGTATGAAAATGCTGACTCTGGTACTGTGAAACATGAAACATTAACCAAAAACCTTAAGTAAAGAAGTTGGTGCTGTAAAAGTTGGAAACCAGACTTTTCTGGTTTCTCCAGGGGCATAAAAATCAGGTGAGATGGAAGGAACTAAGGGGCATTTCACTACCCTAAATGGAGGCACTTACCTTGAATCAAACAGTGTCCCATCCAAGAATGTCCCATTGTAGTGATACCTTACAAAATCAGACACCTGGATGGTCCGAGGGCAACTGGGGGGCTTGAAATAAGTGTGAATCTGAACCTGATCTTCAGAATTCCAAATATCCATCAGAAGTACATCAAAATGAAGCACTGAATCTGGGGGGATCACACCAGCTAAAAATTAAAGAGAGTTCACACTGAGAAGCTGCTGCCTTTCAGCCAAACACATAGGATGATGCTAAAGGGTTCAAGGGGGGTCACTGCTATGAACTAAGATGGACCATGCACCTTCCCTCTTTTCTCCAAAGGAAATTAAAAGGAAACAGAAAAAACAAATTTTCCTCTCACAAGGGTAACATCAGTATACCTATGTTAATAACACCTTCTTTCATATCTAGGAGAAATCAGCCTAAGATGAAATTTTAGCTGTGCCTATGAGTATGTGTGTGTTTGTTGCTTCTCATTTTCCCTAATCTAAAGCTTCCAAAGATTCTCTGCCAATGTTCTGGTTGTTTCTGCAGATATGTTTATAAACACGGAACAAAAACTTACAAACTCCTTCACTTCCATAGGCAAGTTTTGGGGGAATCGTCACAAAACGCCTCTCATTTACACACATTCCGACCAGAGCTTGGTCCATCCCTGTGATCAGTTGTCCTTTTCCCACTAACACGTTGAAAGTGGAATCTCTGTCATAGCTGAAAACCGGAAAGGTAGAGCAAGAGAAAGAAAAGTATGAATTAATCCTTCCCTTAGTGAAACCAGTGAAAATGAGAAGGTCACTGCAGAGCAAAAAGCCACTGGAGGAGTTAAAGGAAATGTGTTCACTGGACAGTGCTCGTAGGGCTGTACTTTTTAAAATTGCCTTGAATATTGCCAGCAAATCTAGTCAGATAAGCAACACATAACTCTGTACAAAAAAAAATGTAAATTAAGTCAACTTTGCACAATAGCTACCAATTCTTCCACTAAAAAATTAGTTGGCCTTATGCTGGAAGATGAAGAACAGAATCATGGCTGTGACCAATGCTCTCAGCCTCCTGAATGTGAAACTCAGCAACCTACAAGGGTTTTCCCATGAGGAGACTATGCTGGGTGCTTGGGGGATATGAAGACATCCAAGATATGGACTTTGCCTAGTATAAAAAACTGGCAGAGAAACCCACAGAGTTTCAGATGCTGTGTTTAAGAAAATGACTACAGGGCTTGGTTTATAACAATGAAACACTGGAAATAACTTAGAATTCAAGGATATGGCACTGACTGCATTTAAGGCAAGGACATACAATAAAATGCTTTGTTCCCATATAAAATAACAGATCTCTCTGCACTGGCATGGAAGGACATACACGTCAAGAGGAATGTGCAGGTTACAGAGCCACAGTATAAAATAATGCCATTCTGAATTTACTTACAGAGATACATGTGAGAAAATCCACAAGGTGATCAACAAGAAAATATTATCAATGGTAATCTATTGGTAGGGGATTTCAGGTGACTTAATTTGTTTTGTCTTTAATTCTCTCTTAATTTTCAAAATGATCATGTAATACCTGTATAATAAGATGTTAAAAGCTGTTGGAATTTACCTCACTAGGATGTTTTGTCCTTCATGTGGCAACCCACTTCCACGTTTTCCTCATTTTCCCTAATGAATAGCTCGAGCAAACAGTACAGTCCATCATCGGGGCAGCTTCCTCAGACCTGCCCCCCATCCCTTCTCTCCTCCAGTTTTACAACCCGTTTTAATAGCTTTGCTTTCTCCGAGGTCACTGAACAGAGAACAAGATTCCACGTTCAGGCCTAAGCCTGAGGACAAAGCACATGATCAGTTCTGTGCCCAAGACAGCTTTACACCTCCACTCTCAATCTCCAAGGGACCAACACTGCCCCCAGGAATGCCAGCTCTTGAATTTCACTTGGCTGGGGACTCCATGCCCTGAACCATCATCAAACTGGTGGGCTTATATGCATAATAGACTAGAACACAAGGCTTCAGAGGCAGCCCAGGTACAGAACATGTGTAAAACAATGCACAGACTGGGAACTGCTTTAAAAATATGTTTTTCGTCCACAGAACCTGAATATAGTTCCCAAATGTAATGAGAGTTTTTAAAAATAACTACTACTACAGAGCATTCCATGTGTCAGGCACCATGGAAAACTAAGTTTTCCCAGATACTACTCCAGTTAATGTCATATAACACTTCAAGGTGGTGCTGAGACTTAGGCTCCTAAGAAAAAAGCTAGAACCCAGTACTTTTCTCCTCTTGCCCGCCAGAGGCTCCCTACATGGTGTATAAGAACTGTCGTTGCCTCATAGCATTAATTTTTTCATTTGATGACTGCCTAAGTTAAGTGCTAAAAACAAAAAACACTTTTCTGAAAGAAAATGTATAATTTACATACACAAGAAACTATCAATGCAAGATCAGTCCTATCTACTGCTTAAAACTCTGACCATCTGGAAAAATAAAGTCATTCTGAGAAAATTTGTCCTGATCAGCACAACTGGCACAAATTTACGTGTAGTGTCAAGCCCAGAACTGGCCCATGAAAATTATTTCTGCAAGCTCTGGAATAAGCACCTACACAGCCTGTCCCAGGATCTGGCTGATTTATACCTTTTGCAGATGTTCTGCAGGAAACAGATGATACATCCAAATTAGGAAGTTCCAGGAAAGTTTAATAAAGGAGCTGTGTGCTAAAGTGTGTGTGGATGCAGAGAAACTTAAGGGGCAGTGTAGTACCTTTGGGGTCAAATAGGAGGTGCTATTGTCACACCTGGGTTTGAAGGATCTAAGGATAGTGAGGGTGTCTCAGGGCTACTGACAGATGCTAAGCTAGGACCTCTGGTTGAGGGACAAAGAGGTGGTGACTCTATAGGCAGGGAGCCAGGGGAATAAATATCTCCACGTCACTCTCCTCCCTCTGATCTCCAACTGATGCCCCATTGGCTGAACACAACCAGAAGCCAGATGACAAGAGGGTCACTGATATAATCCATACTATGCACATGTAGTCCATAGAGGTCAGCCTTCCAGAACAAAAATAGAACAGGGGTACAGTGGACCTAGAAAGGCAAATGGAAGTCATTCAGCACATCCAAAACTCTCCTATCCTCCCGAGCAGCGTCTTTTTCTCCCCTGCTCACTCACTGCTACAGCAGACCCTTTGATTGCTGCCCTACATGTCTGCCTTCCCCTGCCCCTGCGATGGGAGGCATCTGCAGCACCCTTCAACAGTGCTCTTCAAGATTACTGGCCCAAGGACCACTAAGACAGGAGACATCACATAAAACCCATCATATTCAACTCATTAAACTGCCCACACGCAAGCACACATTATCTTGTGGCATATTCCTCAGGATAAGTAACCACTCCTTGAGGCCCTACCCATAAAGCATAAATACTGTGGCTTTATTTCTAAATGTAGGTTTCAAATTGCAGTGAGGATGAGCTTTTAAAAGAACATGGAACTGAATATACTCCCTCTCTAGAGCCTCTGAAGCCCATTCCTTCCCCAAAGCTCCTAAGCAATTCTTTGTAAAAAAGGATTTAGGAACTCAGAGAGGAAATCATTGCTGTCAAGAGACGACAACAAGATTTGGAAGACAGAAAGGGTATGAAGAAGTGGGAACTGACCTAGAAGGGAAGAAACAGAATCTTGGTGTATGCAAAAGAAAAGTCTGACCAAGGGTGGCCCATGTGCCTCCGACGCTGCAGAGGCTGCAGAGTGGAAGGCGGCAGAGCAGAAGGAAGTCTGCAGCTTGAAATCTGCCTTCAGAACAGCTACACCCCACCTTGGAGCCCCTTCCCCACTCCTGTTAGCTTGGCAATTATAATTTTAAGATTTATGGAATTATAAACTCTGCACAGATGTATTACTTTCTAAAATTAAAGCTTTTTGCAAAAATCGACATACATTTACACTATTTGTTGCTGAGATAATTTTGATCTCAGATCCGGAAACAAAGGAAAAAATGGCCACTACAGAGGGAAGAGAAGACTGCCCTGTAGTTAGAACTTACCCAGGTGAGATTCAACACCCTCCCGTAGATTGAGCCTGGGCTCAACTGCAAACTGGACAGTGGGGAAGCAAAGTATGACTTTTCTGCCTCCCACCTCTCTCTCCGCAGCACACACTCCCGAAGATGACTCTGGGCTTCCCAGGCCCTTTGCCCAAGAATATTTCCCTGAAACAACCACCTCTACCAGCAACTAGTTAGCCTGGCAGGGGGAAAAGGCAAGCCATTAATGAACTGGCAGGCTACTTGCTATCCAGAAGGAAAAATGGCAGACTGTTGCAAGGTAGGAAGAGAGAGAAGGCAATGGAGGAGGGAGAGACAAGCAAGGAGAGGAGAGAAGGGAAATGAGAGAGAATGTATCAATTCACACCTCCACAGAAGATGCGACCCAGAAATGTGAGTAGAGGGTGTGGATGGTCTTTGACACATTAAAGATCATTTAAAGAAAAACTGCAAAACAAAGTAAAATCATTACATAGCTATTGTGGATTTTTGTTTTTAAGCACCTACACAAGTTAAAATGTCAGATCTATATAAATAATTATTGTCTTACACAAGTTCTCAGCCCAGTAAAACATAGCCAAATTAAATGAACAATATGAATGTACAGTTGCTTGCAATGAACCTCAAATGAAAAGAGCAATGCCATTTAGTCTTTGCAAGGTTAGGTTGGTTGGCCAATGGCCTCAGGGAACCCTAGTTGAAAGAACTTCCTGGAAGCTAGGCTCCGTTCCTAAAGTCAGCAGAACCTCACTGGGCTAATGCACTAGCTGCAACTTCTCTTTTATTACATGGCTTTTCCACAGGAAGAGCTGCTATGCAGATTCTCACTTTCAAAGCTCCCTGCCTAAGGAGCAAAACTGAATGGAAGTTGCAAAGAATTCCCATATATCCCCCTCCCCCACAGACTCCCCTATTATCAACACCCCCCATCACAGTGGGACATTTGTTACACTCCATGAACCTACCACTATCACCCAAAGTCCACAGTTTACATTAGGGTTTGCTCTCGGCATGGTGCATTCTTAGACGTATGCATAACGACATATATCCACTGTGGTATCATACAGACTAGTGTCACTGGAGAGGAGGGATTTTTGTCTGTTCTATTCTCTGAGACATCTCAGCACCTTGAATAGTAGAAATAAAAGCAAGGACAGATGAGGGTGGCTTGAGGAATGGAAAGGACTTACCATCTCCATCTTCTCCATAGGCCAGAAAAGGAGGTATGGTGATGATGCGCTTTTCCCCCACACACATCCCCAACAGCCCTTTATCCATTCCGGGAATCAGCCAGCCAATTCCCACATACGTATCATATGTTCTCATGCGATTGTGACTGAAAACCAATGAGAAAGGGGAAAAGTTCCATGTCATGAGGGTGTTTCTAATTCATCCCATGGGAAGGTTTTGGTAATCCAGATCTAAGCTAAATGGTGAACTCATCCCCATCCCCAGAGACAGGCATTTATGGGATCTTTGCTCCCAAACTCAGAAATCCTCAAGTTAAGGAAGACATGAAAAGTGTAGCATTAAGCCACAGTGTTCCACAAAAACAGGCCTGCTAGTCTATCTAACCAAACATGATCATGAGAGGAAAGCCCAAAGGGTTCATTGTTCTCTGGCTGAGTACTTTACTTCTGCACTTCTCTGTAGTTTCATATACATTCAGCTTTCTCCCCGCCATCCATGGAAAAACCATAAAAATAAACCAAAAAATGCATGAACCTACTTGGAATACGGCCTGTTACTTGATGACGAGATCTCAAAATATGTTAATTTAGATAAACCTTGCTCTTAGATTTTTCTAAGATGTATGAAAATGCTGACTCTGGTACTGTGAAACATGAAACATTAACCAAAAACCTTAAGTAAAGAAGTTGGTGCTGTAAAAGTTGGAAACCAGACTTTTCTGGTTTCTCCAGGGGCATAAAAATCAGGTGAGATGGAAGGAACTAAGGGGCATTTCACTACCCTAAATGGAGGCACTTACCTTGAATCAAACAGTGTCCCATCCAAGAATGTCCCATTGTAGTGATACCTTACAAAATCAGACACCTGGATGGTCCGAGGGCAACTGGGGGGCTTGAAATAAGTGTGAATCTGAACCTGATCTTCAGAATTCCAAATATCCATCAGAAGTACATCAAAATGAAGCACTGAATCTGGGGGGATCACACCAGCTAAAAATTAAAGAGAGTTCACACTGAGAAGCTGCTGCCTTTCAGCCAAACACATAGGATGATGCTAAAGGGTTCAAGGGGGGTCACTGCTATGAACTAAGATGGACCATGCACCTTCCCTCTTTTCTCCAAAGGAAATTAAAAGGAAACAGAAAAAACAAATTTTCCTCTCACAAGGGTAACATCAGTATACCTATGTTAATAACACCTTCTTTCATATCTAGGAGAAATCAGCCTAAGATGAAATTTTAGCTGTGCCTATGAGTATGTGTGTGTTTGTTGCTTCTCATTTTCCCTAATCTAAAGCTTCCAAAGATTCTCTGCCAATGTTCTGGTTGTTTCTGCAGATATGTTTATAAACACGGAACAAAAACTTACAAACTCCTTCACTTCCATAGGCAAGTTTTGGGGGAATCGTCACAAAACGCCTCTCATTTACACACATTCCGACCAGAGCTTGGTCCATCCCTGTGATCAGTTGTCCTTTTCCCACTAACACGTTGAAAGTGGAATCTCTGTCATAGCTGAAAACCGGAAAGGTAGAGCAAGAGAAAGAAAAGTATGAATTAATCCTTCCCTTAGTGAAACCAGTGAAAATGAGAAGGTCACTGCAGAGCAAAAAGCCACTGGAGGAGTTAAAGGAAATGTGTTCACTGGACAGTGCTCGTAGGGCTGTACTTTTTAAAATTGCCTTGAATATTGCCAGCAAATCTAGTCAGATAAGCAACACATAACTCTGTACAAAAAAAAATGTAAATTAAGTCAACTTTGCACAATAGCTACCAATTCTTCCACTAAAAAATTAGTTGGCCTTATGCTGGAAGATGAAGAACAGAATCATGGCTGTGACCAATGCTCTCAGCCTCCTGAATGTGAAACTCAGCAACCTACAAGGGTTTTCCCATGAGGAGACTATGCTGGGTGCTTGGGGGATATGAAGACATCCAAGATATGGACTTTGCCTAGTATAAAAAACTGGCAGAGAAACCCACAGAGTTTCAGATGCTGTGTTTAAGAAAATGACTACAGGGCTTGGTTTATAACAATGAAACACTGGAAATAACTTAGAATTCAAGGATATGGCACTGACTGCATTTAAGGCAAGGACATACAATAAAATGCTTTGTTCCCATATAAAATAACAGATCTCTCTGCACTGGCATGGAAGGACATACACGTCAAGAGGAATGTGCAGGTTACAGAGCCACAGTATAAAATAATGCCATTCTGAATTTACTTACAGAGATACATGTGAGAAAATCCACAAGGTGATCAACAAGAAAATATTATCAATGGTAATCTATTGGTAGGGGATTTCAGGTGACTTAATTTGTTTTGTCTTTAATTCTCTCTTAATTTTCAAAATGATCATGTAATACCTGTATAATAAGATGTTAAAAGCTGTTGGAATTTACCTCACTAGGATGTTTTGTCCTTCATGTGGCAACCCACTTCCACGTTTTCCTCATTTTCCCTAATGAATAGCTCGAGCAAACAGTACAGTCCATCATCGGGGCAGCTTCCTCAGACCTGCCCCCCATCCCTTCTCTCCTCCAGTTTTACAACCCGTTTTAATAGCTTTGCTTTCTCCGAGGTCACTGAACAGAGAACAAGATTCCACGTTCAGGCCTAAGCCTGAGGACAAAGCACATGATCAGTTCTGTGCCCAAGACAGCTTTACACCTCCACTCTCAATCTCCAAGGGACCAACACTGCCCCCAGGAATGCCAGCTCTTGAATTTCACTTGGCTGGGGACTCCATGCCCTGAACCATCATCAAACTGGTGGGCTTATATGCATAATAGACTAGAACACAAGGCTTCAGAGGCAGCCCAGGTACAGAACATGTGTAAAACAATGCACAGACTGGGAACTGCTTTAAAAATATGTTTTTCGTCCACAGAACCTGAATATAGTTCCCAAATGTAATGAGAGTTTTTAAAAATAACTACTACTACAGAGCATTCCATGTGTCAGGCACCATGGAAAACTAAGTTTTCCCAGATACTACTCCAGTTAATGTCATATAACACTTCAAGGTGGTGCTGAGACTTAGGCTCCTAAGAAAAAAGCTAGAACCCAGTACTTTTCTCCTCTTGCCCGCCAGAGGCTCCCTACATGGTGTATAAGAACTGTCGTTGCCTCATAGCATTAATTTTTTCATTTGATGACTGCCTAAGTTAAGTGCTAAAAACAAAAAACACTTTTCTGAAAGAAAATGTATAATTTACATACACAAGAAACTATCAATGCAAGATCAGTCCTATCTACTGCTTAAAACTCTGACCATCTGGAAAAATAAAGTCATTCTGAGAAAATTTGTCCTGATCAGCACAACTGGCACAAATTTACGTGTAGTGTCAAGCCCAGAACTGGCCCATGAAAATTATTTCTGCAAGCTCTGGAATAAGCACCTACACAGCCTGTCCCAGGATCTGGCTGATTTATACCTTTTGCAGATGTTCTGCAGGAAACAGATGATACATCCAAATTAGGAAGTTCCAGGAAAGTTTAATAAAGGAGCTGTGTGCTAAAGTGTGTGTGGATGCAGAGAAACTTAAGGGGCAGTGTAGTACCTTTGGGGTCAAATAGGAGGTGCTATTGTCACACCTGGGTTTGAAGGATCTAAGGATAGTGAGGGTGTCTCAGGGCTACTGACAGATGCTAAGCTAGGACCTCTGGTTGAGGGACAAAGAGGTGGTGACTCTATAGGCAGGGAGCCAGGGGAATAAATATCTCCACGTCACTCTCCTCCCTCTGATCTCCAACTGATGCCCCATTGGCTGAACACAACCAGAAGCCAGATGACAAGAGGGTCACTGATATAATCCATACTATGCACATGTAGTCCATAGAGGTCAGCCTTCCAGAACAAAAATAGAACAGGGGTACAGTGGACCTAGAAAGGCAAATGGAAGTCATTCAGCACATCCAAAACTCTCCTATCCTCCCGAGCAGCGTCTTTTTCTCCCCTGCTCACTCACTGCTACAGCAGACCCTTTGATTGCTGCCCTACATGTCTGCCTTCCCCTGCCCCTGCGATGGGAGGCATCTGCAGCACCCTTCAACAGTGCTCTTCAAGATTACTGGCCCAAGGACCACTAAGACAGGAGACATCACATAAAACCCATCATATTCAACTCATTAAACTGCCCACACGCAAGCACACATTATCTTGTGGCATATTCCTCAGGATAAGTAACCACTCCTTGAGGCCCTACCCATAAAGCATAAATACTGTGGCTTTATTTCTAAATGTAGGTTTCAAATTGCAGTGAGGATGAGCTTTTAAAAGAACATGGAACTGAATATACTCCCTCTCTAGAGCCTCTGAAGCCCATTCCTTCCCCAAAGCTCCTAAGCAATTCTTTGTAAAAAAGGATTTAGGAACTCAGAGAGGAAATCATTGCTGTCAAGAGACGACAACAAGATTTGGAAGACAGAAAGGGTATGAAGAAGTGGGAACTGACCTAGAAGGGAAGAAACAGAATCTTGGTGTATGCAAAAGAAAAGTCTGACCAAGGGTGGCCCATGTGCCTCCGACGCTGCAGAGGCTGCAGAGTGGAAGGCGGCAGAGCAGAAGGAAGTCTGCAGCTTGAAATCTGCCTTCAGAACAGCTACACCCCACCTTGGAGCCCCTTCCCCACTCCTGTTAGCTTGGCAATTATAATTTTAAGATTTATGGAATTATAAACTCTGCACAGATGTATTACTTTCTAAAATTAAAGCTTTTTGCAAAAATCGACATACATTTACACTATTTGTTGCTGAGATAATTTTGATCTCAGATCCGGAAACAAAGGAAAAAATGGCCACTACAGAGGGAAGAGAAGACTGCCCTGTAGTTAGAACTTACCCAGGTGAGATTCAACACCCTCCCGTAGATTGAGCCTGGGCTCAACTGCAAACTGGACAGTGGGGAAGCAAAGTATGACTTTTCTGCCTCCCACCTCTCTCTCCGCAGCACACACTCCCGAAGATGACTCTGGGCTTCCCAGGCCCTTTGCCCAAGAATATTTCCCTGAAACAACCACCTCTACCAGCAACTAGTTAGCCTGGCAGGGGGAAAAGGCAAGCCATTAATGAACTGGCAGGCTACTTGCTATCCAGAAGGAAAAATGGCAGACTGTTGCAAGGTAGGAAGAGAGAGAAGGCAATGGAGGAGGGAGAGACAAGCAAGGAGAGGAGAGAAGGGAAATGAGAGAGAATGTATCAATTCACACCTCCACAGAAGATGCGACCCAGAAATGTGAGTAGAGGGTGTGGATGGTCTTTGACACATTAAAGATCATTTAAAGAAAAACTGCAAAACAAAGTAAAATCATTACATAGCTATTGTGGATTTTTGTTTTTAAGCACCTACACAAGTTAAAATGTCAGATCTATATAAATAATTATTGTCTTACACAAGTTCTCAGCCCAGTAAAACATAGCCAAATTAAATGAACAATATGAATGTACAGTTGCTTGCAATGAACCTCAAATGAAAAGAGCAATGCCATTTAGTCTTTGCAAGGTTAGGTTGGTTGGCCAATGGCCTCAGGGAACCCTAGTTGAAAGAACTTCCTGGAAGCTAGGCTCCGTTCCTAAAGTCAGCAGAACCTCACTGGGCTAATGCACTAGCTGCAACTTCTCTTTTATTACATGGCTTTTCCACAGGAAGAGCTGCTATGCAGATTCTCACTTTCAAAGCTCCCTGCCTAAGGAGCAAAACTGAATGGAAGTTGCAAAGAATTCCCATATATCCCCCTCCCCCACAGACTCCCCTATTATCAACACCCCCCATCACAGTGGGACATTTGTTACACTCCATGAACCTACCACTATCACCCAAAGTCCACAGTTTACATTAGGGTTTGCTCTCGGCATGGTGCATTCTTAGACGTATGCATAACGACATATATCCACTGTGGTATCATACAGACTAGTGTCACTGGAGAGGAGGGATTTTTGTCTGTTCTATTCTCTGAGACATCTCAGCACCTTGAATAGTAGGTACTCAATAAGTATTGTTTAATGAATAAGTGAATGAATGAATGGATATATAAAATGAAGTTGACCTCTGTAATGAGTCTATGATTCTTTTAGAGTAAGGTTCTCAGAGTGTGGTCCTCAGAACGTCAGCATCAGTAACACCTGGGAACTTGTTAGAAACACAGGACCTACCAAATGAGACTCTGTGTAGCACAAGCTCTCCAGGTGATTCTAATGCGTGTACAGTGTGAACACTCCTGTGCTAGAGAACCCCACCTAATAGGGCACGCAGTGGGGGCACAATAATAGCTTTTGAGTGTTTGGAACTTAAGAGCCAGCGGACAGGCCTGGAGGCTATGGACGAAACGGCCAGATGCTAGTTTTGCTGGCTAAAGTTAACAGGAACATATTAAGCGTCAGGCCCCAGATGGAATCAGAGTGAAGAGATCATTCCTCTAACCCTTTCTCGAGGAATGCTATGGAATTCCTAAAAAGCTGAATCAGGAATGGCTGACAAGGAGCTCCCAAGATGGACAGTGCAAGCAGAAGCCCCACAGAAACCTACAGGTAGGAAGCTGCTGTCTTCTTGTGTCAGGAGCAGCAGCCCAGAAGCATAGGAACAGGCCTGTGGTTGCTTTGAAATAAAATGAAACCATGTCTAAGCCAGCGGCCAAGGGCAGAAGCTGGACCTCCTGGTAACTGCAAATGCCCATAAGCTCACAAGACACCAACTGCACCAAGATGCAGGAGGAAAGCTCTGAGGGAAGAAAGGCCCTTTGTGGTTTATGAGTCTGATTGGGGTGATAGTCATCATTTTCTTCTCAGCAAAATCTACAAATCAGCAGCCAAGTCCAAAACACCTTAGATTTCTCCTCTCCTGAAATCTTTGGGCAGGAACAGCAAAGTCATGTTCTAATACTTCATAAATTACCAAAGGAATGCAGGCCCTAAAGAAGAACTCACATCAGTGTGCCCTGCCCCTCCCTCCATTGTCCTCACTGCAGCCACAGGTACCTTATAACATGCAAATCTGAGGGTCTAAGTACAAGGGTCCCCCGATTAAAACTCTTCATTGGCTTTCCACTGTCCTTAGACAAAGTCCAAACAAACTCCACAGCCAAGCCGACAAGATCTCTCAAAGGCTGGCCCCCGCCTTCCTCTCAGGCCTCTTCTTCTCACCTTCTTTTTCCTCCTGTCACTTCCCTACTTGCCCTCCAAGCTCAGGCCATACTGAACACCTTCCACACCCCCCAAAACAATGCTCCCCAACCCCAGTCCCTCACCCTTCAGCAGCTCCCTGGTAAATCTGAATCATCCTCAGGTCTCATCTCTGTCATCCTGGGACTCCACCCTGACCACTCCCCCACCCCCCACCCACACACAACATACAGTCAAGGCTTCTGTATGTTTGCACAGCTCCTTGCCCTTCTTCAGTCGTATAGATAGATGTATAGACTATGGACTCCGGCACTACACTGCCTGGATTCAAGACCGCACTCCACCACTTAGTCTGACTTCTTGGGCAAATTGCTTGAACTTTCTGAGCCTCAGTTTGTTCATTCGTACCCATCTCACTGCCTTGTGAGGTTAAATGAATTCATCTGAGATTGAATGAAGTAATACATGTAAAGGCGTTCAGTAAGACCTCTGTGTGAAGTCTGGTGGGAGGCAGAAGTGTGTGGTATTATCTTTTCTGTACATATCATGCCATGTAACTGTCTGGTATATGAATGGTGCAGACAGGGAGGGACACTGTCTCCAGAGGCAGACCCTGTGTGCATGGTTGCTGAATAATGGTAGCTCCTCTGTACGCCTTCCACTGACCCACACCACCTCAGTGTCTGCCTTGCCTGGGGGGTAGGCAACTTGTATAAATGGAAATGATTAATTACTATAAGTACAAGCAGGAATTTCTCCCTTATTTCCTAATTAAAGAATCAAGTGAAGGAAGATATACAAATGGCCAATAAACACAAGAAAAGATGTTCAGCATCATTAGCCATTAGAGAAATGTGAATCAAAGGGATAATGAGATACCACTTCATACTTACAAGGATGGCTATAATCAAAAAGACAATTACAAGTGTTGGAGAGAATGTGGAGAACTAGGAATCCTCATACGTTGCTAGTGGGAATGTAAAATGGTGCAGCCATGTTGGAAGATGGTTCGGAAGTTCCTCAAAAAGTTAAACACAGTTACTGCAGGACCCAACAATTCCAAATCTAGGTGTATACCCAAAAGAAATGAAAATGTATATCCACACAAAACCTTGTACACAAATGCTCATTAGCCAAAAATTGTAAACAGCCCAAATACCCATAACTGATGGATGAACAAAATGTGGAATAGCCATACAATGAATATTATGTAACCATAAAAAGGAGTGGATTATTGATATATGTTACAATATGGATGAACCTTGTAAACATACTAAGTGAAAGAAGCCAGATACAAAGCACCACAAATTATATTATTCCATATAGGGACAGAAAGTAGATTAGTGGTTGCCTAGGGCTGGAGGGAAGGGGAGTGACTGCTAGAAGGGTCTAGCATTTCTTTTTTGGAGTGATGAAAATGTTCTGGAATTAGATAGTTGTGATGGTTGTGCAACTCTGTGAATATACTAAAAACCCTACTGAATTGTATACTTTAAATGAATGAGCTGTGTGGTATGTTAATTATATTTCAATAAAGGTGTTAAAAAAAAGCAACTGAAACAACAGTAAGAAAAATCATTTCTAAGCACTTGCTTGTGCCATACAGTATGCTAAACAACGTTTGTATATTCAACTCACTGTCTGGACTTTCAAAAATGGCAAGAGGCTGAGAGTATGTTTAAAAAGATAACATCAGGAATGAGCCTAGCACAGCCTAGGGCACATAACACATGCTCAACAAATAGTTTTCTTTGCCTGGTCTGGTGATTCACTGAGGGAAGTGTGGGCACAGACCTGGGTTTGTGACAAAGCCTTAGGGAGGAGGGCAGCCTGGCAATGGAGGAAAGCTAAAGCTAAACTGGAGAGAAGTTGGGAAGAGATATTGTGATCTTGGGGCAGAGTTGCAGGAAAGAATCGTGGGCATAGTGCAGGGCCCCATGGCAAAGCAGAGTGACTTGGTCTGGATTAACCCCTGTCCAATGGCCACAAAAAGGGGGCAGTGGTAGTTCCAATAACAGACCCTGGAATTGCATGTGACTCCACTTAAGTTTCAACCTGACTCCACTTAAACAAGTTTCTTAGCCCCGATGGCCCTAAGTTACCTGAACTGGCAAAATGAGGGTAATGATAGTACCTCCCTCAGAGAACTTTAAGAACTAAATGAGTCCGTTATATGGAAAGCACTTAGAACTACCCTGGCACACTGTAATAGGTCCATAAATGTTCAAGGCTGCTGTCACCAGCTTCATTATCATCATCATCTGCGAAAAGCATCATCGGACTAGACACTCAAAGGATCTTGCCTGAAGGAACAGTAAAGGGAGGCGGCAGGCAGGCATCAACGCTCTTGGGGGGGGGTCTCCTCATGAAGGGCCATCTGACATGGATTTCGCCTGTGTAAATGCGCTGGGCGGGAAGGGAGGGCGTGATCTGTTCCAACCCTGCTGCGCAAGATCCTATAGAAGATCCCAGTCCCGGGCGGGCGGGCTGCGGGAGCCGAAGGGCCGAGAGGCTCACTCTCGGGCTTTAGAGATTTAGGGTCGGGGAGCTCTGGGGTAGGACGACGGGGAGGGAGGAGCGCGGGGCCCGCGGGGCGGAGCTGGGGGAGGTCCGTCGGGAGGGAAAGGCCTGTCCGGAGAGAGGGGAGCGGGAGAGCGGGGCGTCCAGCCTCGCAGGCCCGGCCGGGTGCTCGGGGCGTGGTACCTGGAGTCGAACTTCTGGCCGTCGGGGAACGTGCCCACGTAGTGGTAGCGCACGAAGTCGCCGCTGCGCACGGTGCGCGGGCACTCATCCGGCACAAAACGCCGTTGGATCTGCAGCTCCGCGTCGGCGCCCAGGCCCGCCACGGGCGCCGCCTGCCCGGTCACCCAGAGCAGCAGCAGGAGCAGCGGCGGCGGGGACCGCCAGCCCCGGGCCCTGAACGCCATCGGCGGCGGCGGGGAGAGGAGCCGGGGCGGGTGAGGCGCGCGGCACGAAGCTGGCGGGGGTGCACGGCGCTCGGGCAGCGCGGCTCGGGCCTGGGCCCGCGGCGGCGTTTGCAAACGTGGAGGAGACTCCCGGCCGCAGCAGCCACCCCTTGCTTCCGCCCCCCGGCCACATCCGAGCGAGGGGAGGAGCCCCGGCCGCGCGCCAGGCCCGGCCTGCTGCGCCGTGCGCCGCGCAAGCTGTGCGCGGCGGCCCCGGCCACAGTCTGGGGGCTCCAGAGGGGGTCCGCCGGCGGGGGAGGAACGCGCGCTGCTCGGGGCGGCGCTCGGCCCAGAGCGGGGGGCGAGAGAAGCGTTTGTCCGCCGAGCTCCGCCCATCCCTTCAGAATCTCCGGACTTAGGGCCACGAGAAGCTCCACATGACCACTGATCTAAGTACCCCTGCTGCTTCGGGGAGCGAGAGAAACTTAGATTTCTATCATTGTTTTTAACTTAGTTACAAGGATGGATTCTACGTTGAGAAAGCCTGAAACCATACTTTGATTTTTTTTTCAGGATTTTTCTTTTAATATTTAGAGAACGAGGGAGGCGTGTATTGCGAGGCTCCGCTGACCGTTGTTCAGCGAAAAGTTTTTAAGTTGCTGAGTGATCCTCAAGCCATCTGTGGGTGCCCTGTGAGCTGATACTTAGGAGCAAGCATGCCACGTGGTCTCAGCCGCGTGACTGAGCTCAGAAAGACCCAGATGCCGCAGGAAACTCATTAGTTTCAGTGCATTCTTAGTTTAGAATTGGTTATTCTTACTTATTAAAACGTTGGATAAATGAAAGCAAATCACCGAAAGTTTCTCATTCTCATTCTTTTAGACGCAAACAATCCTGATAAGCAAATCTGGTAAAGAGCAACAGAGAGGGGGAGTGAAATTGGGTACCAATCTAATTTATAAATGTAGAGGGAAAAATGCCTAAAACATGAGCAAATTTAATTCAATGATTTATTAAGGGAATAATACACCTTTATGTGGACTACCTAGGTGACCTGCAAGTTAATTAACAGTGTCAGTGTTCTCTGTGAGAGGAATAAAACTAACTATAAGATTATTATAGATCTTGTTGGGTCCCAGAATATAATGAGAAACTACATGCAGCACTAAAGAAATGTTCACTGTTCCTAACAGAACTTACTCTATTGAAATAGAAAACTTATTAATATGCATCATTCTATTAACACTGGTTGTAGGTGGTTGAATTGAGTGATTTGCTTTTTCTATATACTTTCTAGGATTCCCTTACAGATATAATAACTATGTCAGGTATTTATTATAAAATTCAAGTTTTGCACAAATACAAACAAGTTAACCTTGTTTCGGTTAGGAATCTTCCACTCTTTTTTTAAAATAATTTTTTTAATGAAGGTATCATTGATATACAGTCTAATGAAGGTTTCACATGAAAAACAATGTGGTTACTACATCCACCCATATTAACTAGTCTCCTCCATACCCCATTGCAGTCACTGTCCATCAGTGTAGTAAGATGCCACAGAGTCCCTACTTGTCTTCTCTGTGCTGCACTGTCTTCCCCGTGAACCCCCCACACCATGGGTACTAATTAATCATAATACCCCTCAATCCCCTTCTGCCTTCCACCCCCTTTCCTTTTGTAACCGCTAGTCCCTTCTTGGAGTCTGTGGGTCTGCTGCTGTTTTGTTCCTTCAATTTTGGTTTGTCATTATACTCCACAAATGAGTGAAATAATTTGGTACTTGTCTTACACAGAGTCCCTACTTGTCTTCTCTGTGCTGCACTGTCTTCCCCGTGAACCCCCCACACCATGGGTACTAATTAATCATAATACCCCTCAATCCCCTTCTGCCTTCCACCCCCTTTCCTTTTGTAACCGCTAGTCCCTTCTTGGAGTCTGTGGGTCTGCTGCTGTTTTGTTCCTTCAATTTTGGTTTGTCATTATACTCCACAAATGAGTGAAATAATTTGGTACTTGTCTTTCTCCGCCTGGCTTATTTCACTGAGCATACTACCCTCTAGATTCCACTCCTGTATTGTGACTGAAGAGCAAACGTCCCACTGTAGCTTGGCAATACATGACAGCAATCTATGCGTCAATTTCTAAGACTTCTTTCAATTTTAAAAATCCTGTGATACTGTAAAAGAGAAGACACTCCAGGACAGGGAGGTAGACATATGAAAAGAGACAGGCTGAGTGCTTGGCTACTGCTTCCATTTTGCTTTTTAAGGCTCCAAGTGGTTTGATTTCTTGTCATTCCTTTTAACATGTTAATTATCTGATCAAACAGTACATGTGCTCTCCAATAACTCTTTGAATCCTAAAAGACATTTTATGAATTTGATACCTGTAGCAATCTACCAAAGAGAAAGTTTACTTCTTGGTTTTAGTGACAACGTTATCCTAAGAACTAATTAAAATCAAGCTGAAACTTTTAAAAAGTATTTCCATTAAGTTTCTGTGGGTTTTTGAGGATGTCCCAAGTCTAAAAACTGACTCGTTAGTCAAGAAGAGTCGAGTAGACTAAAAGCTCAGAAAGATGGGGAGAAGAGGTGAGTAGGCATGAGATACTAGAATAAAAATGGGGCAGGGGGAGTGATAAAGTAAGAAGAGAAAATTAGTGAATTAGTGAGAATAGAGGACTAAGATAAAAAAGAATGTAACACAATTAGAAGAATATAAAAACACCCAAAAGTTCTGAGGACAGGATAGAGGTGTGGAGCAGCATGCAGGAGGAAAAGGGGATTTGAAAAAAGATTGGTCTGAATGAAAATCAGAAAACCTGGTTCTGTCCTATCCTCCTCTATACAGGAAGTTGAAATGTTAGGAGGGAAAAATCAAACAAGCAGGGCTATAAAGAAAGAATTCCTCTTTTCATTGAGCCTGAAATAAAAGAGGATTCATGAGTCAGATCTTCCAAGAGCAGTAAACCCCAAAGGCTAAGGCAAGTAAACTGATAACTTTAGCTTGGTACACACTGTGCTGGGATAAAGACCAGCATTAAGAAAAACATCCCCTGAAAAGTCCACCTAAGTGGACTGCAGGCAAATGTGAAGGAGAAATTTGTTTCAGCAGTGTTCCCTCTCCTTCCGTCTCCAAGTTCTAAGAAATTCTCCCACCCCCAGTACTGACAGCACACCTGGAGTCACCACGTGGTTTGATGAAAAATCCTGTCCACCATTTTCCTTATGTAACATTTAAGTTGCATTTTGTTTCCCATCACATCTTCCTGTAACTATAGTCTTCTTGTCCAGATGAGGATGTTCTGCACAGTATTTACAGGCCATTTACTGGCCCAGGTAATTTACATTAATAGCTGAATTGATTCACACACCAGTTCTTCCTTCAGAGGGAAACCTGATTTCCAAGTTCTGGGACATGTCAGTGTAACATTGTATGTCTGTTCATAGCCTTTTGTATGTCTGCGTATTTGGATTTTCTCTAATATGAAAGAGCTCTTCATATATGTTACATATTAACCATACTGAATGCCACATTTGAGGGAAATAGTCCATATGCTGTTACTTTTACTTCCTCTATGCTTTCTTCCATTATGTTAAAGCTAAAACACGTATCATAACTTCACATATCAAATACGGTTTCAAAATATAACCCAGCTCAGAACCTAAGACTTTTCCATCTGGCTCCACAACTTAACACTTCTGCATCCCTGAGCACGTCTCAATTCTCTCGACTTCCTCAAAATAAAGGTAATATATAAGCATGGAAACAGCACGTATTAGGTTTTAATATTAACTCTTAAGCGCTTAGACAATGACAGCACATAAAAAGTGGTCAATATATATTAGCTTTAATTTTAATTTCCAGCACCCAAGATGTGTCTAAATAAAGAAACCATCAACTGTCTTAACCATGCTTCGCATGCTCTGGAAAACGAGGAGTGTCTGTGGAGTCTTGCTTTCTTGCAAATTGAATGAATCCAGTACATGTAACGAGCAGCTCTCGTGTGCCTGGCCACTGGGCAAGACAGTGATGACCTGCACAGGTTCGTGGCCTCCAGGGGTGGAGGCCGCAAGGGCAGGCGGCCCTGGCCCGCAGAGGGGCCCCAGGCTCCCACCGCGCATCCTCAGCCCCCGGCCGCCGCCAGGGGGCGCGCTCCGGCACCAGGCGGTCTGGCAGCGAGGGCCCGGGTGCTCCCAGCTCGGCCTTGGGGCCGCGTCGCGGGAAGGCGGACCAGCCGGTCTGTGGGGAGGCGGGGGACAAGCGGCCTTGGCGGGGACACCGGCCCCTGCCCGGGCGGCCGCGGGGCGAAGGCGGGAGGGGGCGCTGCGGGCCTAGCGGGCACGGCGCGGAGGAAGGGCCGTCTTGCCGCCGCCTCGGCTGCGCCAGGGGCGCAATGTCGTCCCGGCCGCGGCGCGACGACGCGGGGGCCGCCGGAGCAGGAGCTGCAGCGGCGCCGGGAGCAGAAGCGGCGGCGGCACGACGCACAGCAGCTGCAGCAGCTCCAGCACCTGGAGTCCTTGTGAGTCCCCGCCCGCCCTGCGGCCTTCCGCCGTGAACGGGCGTCTCCCGGGCGCCGTGGGGGCGCGCCAGGCCGGGCCCTCGGAGACCCGCGAGTGGGCAGGCGAGCCGGCCGGCCGCGGAGCGGCGCAGACACCGGGCTCCCGGCGCCCCTCGGCGGAGAAGGAAGGTCCGTTGCCCGGGCGCCCGGGCGCGGCCTCGCGGCGGGAAGAGCAGACCCCGCTCTCGTCGCTCGGGCCCGCGGCGGGGAACGCGGGGGGCCCCCGGCCTGAGCGCGGAGGCGGCGGGGGTCTCCCTGACCCCGCGGCGTGCGTGCCCGGCTTGCGCGCCGGGGGTCGGGCGCTCGGACTGAATACGTAGACTGGATCCGGAGACTGGATCCGTGAGGCGGGGCCTGAGCGCTCTGCCCGCCGTCCTTTCGGGTTTTTCAGTTCCAAGGACCCACTAGAAGCTGGGTAGCCTCCCCATTCCCTTCCTCCCCCGCTGTTACGGGCAGAGGAAAAACCCAGCCCTGTAACGGTTGCGTGGTGAGCAGGGGAGAACCAGAGAATGATGGCGTGAGGGGATGGATGGTCGGGTGGGAGCCACACGGAGGCCAGTATCGCTCAACAAGAGGAGTTAGGGCGAGAGTCTTTCACTCTTGCTGGTCAGCATTGCCTGACCCAGAGGCACTGCTGCCCTAGCCCCAGGGGTTCAAGAAGAGTCCCGATAACCACTGAGAGAAGGGCAGGTTGCAAGGGAGGTTTAAACATCAGGTGGGAGTTTGGAATAATGAACTTTCAGTTCTTTTCTGTGATTCTGTCATCCTGTAATTAGCTTTAGAAGGCAAACTTTTCTGTTTGGTGTTCACTGAGTTATTCCATAAATAGTTTCTGTTTCAGTTTTTTTTATTTTTAATTAACTTGTATTCATCCTGAGCAATACTTGTATACACTTTTAAAACTCAAATATTACTAAAAATACTACAAAAAGTGGTGGCCTGTCCACTTGAGCCCCCACCCCCCATCCCACTCATGCACAACCTTTCCACGCCCCCAACAAGGCTAAGGCTTCCATGTGCAAACTCTTTCAGTTTTTAGTTCTTGGGTTTAACTGCATATTTGTAAATTTTATACTACTTTCTTTGATGTAACCATTTTAGACTTTGTCTGTTAACTTCTTGGAGTTGTAGATAACGATTTAGTTCTCCTGGCTAACCTTATTTCCATCCTTCAGTAGCTCCATTATAGTAATTTTGTTAAATCAATGTTCATATTAATATTATAACTATGGTATATTGTTTACTTTTGAGCCAAATAGTGTTTTATGATTTTTTTTTGCTCTGTAGTATAACTTTCAAGTATGTAATAAGAGCGTCAATTTTGCATTTGCTTCATTTTCTACTATCAACTTCTGTTTTTTCCCTAAAGCCTCCAAAAGCTGACGTACTTCTTCCACATGTTCCTATAATTATATCATTAATAGGCTTATTGTTATTTAGAATATTCCATCTGTTGTCTTCAAATAGTCATTGGTTACTTTCCAGATCTGGTGTATAACAATTGTTCTGGGACTTCCTTTACCACTCTTATGCCTTGAAACCTATTCCTGAATTCCATGTGCTCCTTGTTTTGTCTTTACTCCCATGTTTTTCTCAAGCACATTTTGTATCTTCCTGTGAAAGTGTCTACCAGAGGTTAATTTTAAGAAACTTCCCCTTATTGCTGTCATCTTGAAGTTTCCTGATAATATAAGTCTTTTCTGATATGTTATGGGTACATTAAATGTGTATGTGGATCTACATTTTAACTTCTTCCCCTCCTTTTTGCTTTTTCTTTCTGTTAGATACCTGTTGATCCTCTCTTTTCTTTCCTACTGTCCATCTCTTTGGCTTTTTATTTTACTTTGTAGATTTATCTGTAACTTCTTGTACTGCACATATTAAAATTCTGCTATCATTTTTAAATTCAAGAACTCTTTCTTACTCTGAAAATTCTTTGAGGCTATTCATTAGTTTCTTTTTGTTTTCTTTTGCTCCCTCCATTGCCTCTGTGTTTTATTTGCCTTTTCTTTTGATCCCTATCTTCCATTAAGAGTTTTTCTCCTAATGTGTGGGTGTCTGAGCCTCTAGTCATATTTAGGAGTGAAGCATTATAAAGCTCTTTTGATGAGAGTCTGTGCAAGAGAGAAAAGATGCTCATTTTGTTGACTGGTAGCACCATTGTAGGGAGGTCAGACTGTAGGCTGCCCTTTTAATCAAGAAACTCTCAAATGTCAGTAGGTGGAATTCTTTTAGGGCTCTTCATTTTCTCCAGGGAAGAATTTTCAGCCCAGGGATATGTATGTCTGGCTGTCAGTGTTCTGGGATGCTTTGGGAGAGAGAGAGCTGAGTGTTCTGGAGTTCAGACAGAAACTTTCACACATCTATTGTCAGCCCATGCTTACTATCATTCAGCAAAATCCCCATCCTTGGTTTTGCTCAGAGGGGACTAAATCTGAAGTCTCCTTCAAGGGGTGGGCAGGCAGACTCTCCTGATTGTAGGCAAGGAGAATAGTGGTGGCTTTAGCTACTCCATGTCCATATTCACCAACCTCCACCTTTCGAAGACTGTAAATTTCTGCACCCACACAAGTCACATTACCTCCTTCCACTGTCCCAAAGTTATTGAAATCTTTCTCTTATGTTATCTCCACTCCAGATTTCTTTGTGGCTTTCTACCTTTTTTATTTTACTGTTGTTTTAGAAAACAGATAAGCATGTTGGTCAGTCTGTCATGTTAAATGAGACCCTAGTTTTTTTTTTACAAATAGAATTTAAATCCTTTCATCCCTGATGTGCCTGCTTCATTCTCCATTGGTCATTTTGTTATACTTTACTTACTTTCTCTATTGCCAGACTCCTGAAGGCATCTGGAGTCTTCCATCTGTGCTCCAGCTCTTCTCACTCCTGGGCTGCCAGGCATAACAGAATGGACACTCAAAATATATGTGGCAGTTTTATTACTGCCTTCCAGCTCCATAGCAGCTAGCTTTAGGAGTAATTGTGTGAGATGGAATATGTTTACATGAAGGGCTTTTCTCTTTCTTTTTATTTTTATTAAGGTATCGTTGATATACAATCTTATGCTCAGATTTCACATGAGCAACATTGTGGTTACTACATTCACCCCCTATTACCAAGTCCCCACCACATATCCCATTATAGTCACTGTCCATCAGCACATGAAGGGCTTTTCTAAAAGAAATCCCACCAGTACTCAAAAAAAAAAAAAAAAGCAGCATTTGAAATACTTGGGAAAATAAAGATTTCTTGCCTCATACACAATATTTCTTCCCTTTCACATTAATCTTACTACACAGAGCAAGTCATTACAAAATGAATGATTTAATGGTTGGTTTCTCAGATGGTACAAAATAATGGGCTTCACCAACTTTTAAAAAATAGAATTAACTACAAAGACAAATGTAGACTTCTTCACTGTCATACCACAGAAGCCAAACTGCACATAAACATAATCCCATTTCAAAATCTGTTATATTTATTTTGTTTTTGTTTCTTAATACAGCTGTTTATTATTTTGCATTAGAAAACGTTATGAGTGAAATAGAATACAACAGTATTAGTCATATTTATTTCTATATCTCTCTTTACATACAGCTCTTTCTGTCATACATATATATTTAGCAAACAGCAACAGGTATCCAGTTTTACAAATACAAGCAACATGCATTAAAATAACTGGTGCCTATCAGTCCAACAAGAGGATATAACCATTCTAAATATATATGCACCCAATACAAGAGCACCAGCATATGTGAAGCAAATACTAACAGAACTTAAGAGGGAAATAGACTGGAATGCATTCATTGTAGGAGACTTCAACACACCACTCACCCCAAAGGATAGATCCACCGGGCAGAAAATAAGTAAGGACACACAGGCACTGAACAACACACTAGAACAGATGGACCTAATAGACATCTATAGAACTCTACATCCAAAAGCAACAGGATATACATTCTTCTCAAGTGCACATGGAACATTCTCCAGAATAGACCACATACTAGCTCACAAAAAGAGCCTCAGTAAATTCCAAAATATTGAAATTCTACCAACCAATTTTTCAGACCACAAAGGTATAAAACTAGAAATAAATTCTACAAAGAAAACAAAAAGGCTCACAAACACATGGAGGCTTAACAACATGCTACTAAATAATCAATGGATCAATGAACAAATCAAAATAGAGATCAAGGAATATATAGAAACAAATGACAACAACAACACTAAGCCCCAACTTCTGTGGGACGCAGCGAAAGCAGTCTTAAGAGGAAAGTATATAGCAATCCAGGCACACTTGAAGAAGGAAGAACAATCCCAAATGAATAGTCTAACATCACAATTATTAAAACTGGAAAAAGAAGAACAAATGAGGCCTAAAGTCAGCAGAAGGAGGGACATAATAAAGATCAGAGAAGAAATAAACAAAATTGAGAAGAATAAAACAATAGCAAAAATCAATGAAACCAAGAGCTGGTTCTTTGAGAAAATAAACAAAATAGATAAGCCTCTAGCCCAACTTATTAAGAGAAAAAGAGAGTCAACACAAATCAACATAATCAGAAATGAGAATGGAAAAATCACGACAGACTCCACAGAAATACAAAGAATTATTAAAGACTACTATGAAAACCTATATGCCAACAAGCTGGAAAACCTAGAAGAAATGGACAACTTCCTAGAAAAATACAACCTCCCAAGACTGACCAAGGAAGAAACACAAAAGTTAAACAAACCAATTACAAGCAAAGAAATTGAAACAGTAATCAAAAAACTACCCAAGAACAAAACCCCGGGGCCGGACGGATTTACCTCGGAATTTTATCAGACACACAGAGAAGACATAATACCCATTCTCCTTAAAGTGTTCCACAAAATAGAAGAAGAGGGAATACTCCCAAACTCATTCTATGAAGCCAACATCACCCTAATACCAAAACCAGGCAAAGACCCCACCAAAA